AAAAAAAAAGAAAAAAAAAGAGAATAAAGAAAAAAAAGGTGAAAGAGGGGAAGGGAAAAAAAAAGAAAAAAAAAAGAAAAAAAAAGAGAATAAAGAAAAAAAAGGTGAAAGAGGGGAAGGGAAAAAAAAAGAAAAATAAAAAAGGGCTGTGTATAAATAAATAATAATTTGTTTCTATTTTCAGCTCTTTCTCTGAAAGGAAAAAGTTTTTTTTTTTATTGTATGACTTTTTTTATTTGCGTCAGAGTCCCCTTGAAATACACTGTGTCACTTAGACGAGATGTGCTATTTTGAAAGATAAATCATCCATGTTGTCGTTATTATTATATTATTTACCTTCCATAGGGCAAAGTAAAGGTGACTGATCATCTACAGTAACTTGATGTAATCTATGTCTGTATCTATATTCCACCATCAATTGTTTCTTTTCTCCTAAACAAGGATCATAGAAACCAAGAATATGTGTCTATTAAATATATTATTATTAAAAGTCCTATTTTATATCACGACTTTAAAATACCTTTGAGTGACCGCTTGGTATTGTCAATCGAGACTCATGAACCAATGTCTGAACGACCACTGTCACATCGATCTGCTCACTCTCCTTGTTCATATTACCATAGATTGCCTTGACAATGACCAATCCATTATTGTTTTCTTCTTGTCTTTGCTTTCTTTTTGCAATGTCTTCCATTAATGATTGTGCATCCAGAGCTTCTCTCTTTCGATTCTCAAGGTATTCTTTATGTTGCTCTCTCAGTTGTTGCACTTTTCTATTTGGGAGGTATTAGTTTATCATCTATCAACTGTTTTCACTTACTCTTCTATCCTTTGTCTTCGGATTGGTTTTAATACCCACTGGTCAACCGCAATTGCAACAGTTGCAGGCACTACAGCACCGAACAATACCAATTTAAGATCAAATTCGGGCGAGAGTATAATGGGCACTGTCACCTTTTGACCAAGACGAGAGACCCTTAAATAAAACCCATGGTGAGTCTCCCTTTTTTTTTAATAATTATTCGGCTTACCTAAATTTGACAATTACACCCAACGCCAATCCACATTCCAAAGTAAATCCGATCCTTGCATGTTTGGTCACTTTATGATCACTACCAACACTGGCGGAGATACCCCCTTGAGTTGATAAGGTACAACTGACTTGAAGTTTACCTTGATGGGGTAATTTATAGCTGTATTCACCTGCAATATGACTTGCCATAACACCTGTCTATGGATCAGATGAGTCATTTGTTTTATCATTATTTGTCTATTTTACCTGAAGCTCTCCACTGTAATTACCAGATTTATTCATTCCAGCCATTCCAAGTGCCACAGACGATTTATCCATCTTGCGCGACACATCTCCTCCCCATCCAAAAATGGAATATTCGCCTGTGCGGTAAGTCAGATAACCGGTGGTTGATGCGTACAATCTACGCCCTGCGGTAATAGACAGGATAGGTGGATCATAGATCGAGTTGCACTGCGCAGATGTATTAATAAAACTACAAAAACATGTTATTGCTTTTCTTCATGATAACTTTTTTTTTTTTTACCTGTCAGAAGAGAGAGAATAATATGTTTTTAATGAAACGAGTCTTGGCTTGAGTAATGTTGCTGTCAACTAGTAATATATCAAGTTTAGAGACTCAAAAGACTTTCCCCCTCTCCTGATAACTTGGGCGAGACTGTATGTCGAATCGTGCCCATTAAATTACCACCTCCCATTCCACCTCTCGATAACATCGATCCACCCACAACAGCGACCGTTTGGGGTCCAATCTGTGTCTGGAACGAGTGCCGCATGAACAACTGTTGTACCTGCGTCTGACTGATTCTCTTTAACGGCCCATGACGTCTTTTGGCAGGCATGGATCCTAACCCAGCAAATGCAGGTGGCTCATATGGATCAAATACTTGACTGGCATCCAATGTCAATTGAAGATCGCTGCGTGATCGTACGAGGTTTTCGAGTTCTTGTTCTCTCTTTTGTTTAGCCTGCTTTTCATATTCTTCACGAAGCTATTATATACATGGTTAGATGAGCCCTGTTTATGTGTATATAATACCTCTTCTGTTGTCTTGTATCTAGGTCCTACATCCCATGACGCGTTCAATCCTTCTTCACCGTATGTGTCATAGATGATACGCTTCTTGGGATCACTCAAGACTGTACATGTTTAATTATTATATTGTTATAGTATATGTTGGCATATATACCTTCATAGGCTTTCTGAATCACTTGAAATCGAGATTCTGCTTTTCTCTTCTTTTCTTCATCTGTATGTTTATCAGGGTGAAAGAATCGACATAGTTTCTTGTAGGATTCCTTGATTTCTTCCTCTGTTGCCTATAATAGCAATGTCAGTTGATCCATTTTTTAAAAAATAAATAAATGGAACAAGACCTTTTTTGAAATGTTCAACACACCATAGTAGTCAGCAGAGGAAGGAGCAAGTTCCCTTTCGAGTCTTTCAAGATCGTCTTCATCGGCAATCGCCTCTTCTTGGTCATGGAAATCATAGGGGTCCATTTTTTTATTTATTTCTATTCTAGTGAAGAAAGGGGGGGAAATAAAGAGGGTGGGGGGAAAAGGGCATTAAAAATAAAAACGTCACGACAGCTGAATTGTATGGACTCTGTTTCCCATCTTGATATAAAGTCGAGTGATCCAAAAGGTATGATTGACCAAGTCGTCCAGAGTATCAGAAGGAAGCTGCGAGATGTATTTATCAATAGTGGATGCTTTGAGCGCCCATGCGATACTTGTATGGAATCTAGGTGGCTATTTTTATAGTTTTAATTTATTTTTTCTGTATATGTTATTTTTTACCTTGTAAAACACAGGCAAGTTATACTGTTCCATGACGCGATCAATACGTGTTTGACAAGCAGATAACTTTAAAGGATTAGATATAATAATGATGATATCTATTGTTTACATTACCTGATTATATCCTTGTCCAATCTCCAACGTCAGAAAAGACCGTGTTGCTTCGTCATTTGTCAATTGAGAGAGCTGTGCAAAGGATATCTTGAATCGTGACATATTCCTTAGCGATGTCTCAATTGCTCTACTGAACGGTTCCAATTGATGTTCTTTTAGAAATACGCATCGACTCAGACTGATGTGTTGTTCTTCAATCTCGTGTATGTCTGAAGGAATATCTTTCCATCGATGTCTTTCACTGCTCAGATCAACTATTGAGTTTAAGTAAAAATAATACCTTTTTGTTATTTATTTACCTGTGCAATAAATATGAGTGGCCCAACTATTCTCTTTATGGCGTACGGTTCGTATTTTTCCTTGAGAATCCATAATGATTTCCTCCTTGTAGAAAAAGGAAGATAGCTTAGGTAGTTTACGCTCTACGGCACTATCTGTCTAAGAAAAAAAGAGCCTAATCTATACCCTTACTTACCTTTCTTCCTCAGCTAGTCTACGCTTATTTGTTGTTCGTTCCTCATCTGAAGACGATTCATAATCTACAAGTGAATTCATAAAGAAAAAAAAGGAAAAAGAAAAAATGGCAGTCTTTTGAAGAACAATCAAATAATAATCACTTTATTTATAAAAAGTCATATTAACTCTTGAAGCAAAGGCAACTTTAATATGTTTATACTATTAACAAAAAGTGATGAATGAGAACTCATAATAAAATGATATAATGTGTTGTTCGTGGGATGGAAAATCAAAATGTATGCATCCTATATCCATTAAAGAAAGAAAAAGACACGTAAGCAGAAAATGACTCCTTAAATACGACCCAGTAAAGCAACAAGACCTTTTTATTTCTTCACTATTTTAGGCATCCAAGCTGACTCTGGTATCGTCTTGGCCCAATCTATAGAAAATGTTATTTAATAAGCCTATATTCTCATAATATATACCTGGAATTGCTTCTTCCTTTAATTCAATTCGACTCATTATTGATTTAATAAAATCACACGTTTCTGTATACATGTGTTGTTAAATAAATATGCACAATTCTATCTTTTTATAATTACTGGCATCTAATTCGTCTTTAGGATCTAATTCTATTTCCATAGCCTCCTTCATTTCTTCTTCTTCTTCATCATCGTCTTGAGGTAATAGCTGATATCCAAAGGAGATCGTACTTTCATTGTCAGAATCAATTTGAACAACTATAGAAAACCTATAAATAAACAAGATCACACACACATTTATTTATACATGATTTTATATACCTTCTTCAATTTGTCTTGTAAACTCTTCAATTACATCTTGTTCATCTTGTTCTATTTTACATATAAAAAGTCATCCTTCTCTTTATTTCCTTTGTTTTACCTTTTGGTTGAGTCATTTTTTTTTTTACAACTGTACTAATTTAAAGAGAAGCCAGTAATAATAATAATAATAAAAGTGACTGTAATTTTTATATTTTTATGTGATCTAATTGGTTCTGCTCATATGCACACACACACACATATATACACATATACACACACACACACGCACATTTTTTTTAGGCCTGCTCTTAAAAATTCTCTCCGCTAATTTTTTTTCGCCCTTCTCTCTCTTCTCTCTCTTCTCTCTCTCTTCTCTTACTCTACACACTTTTAAAATGTATGCTTATAAAAAAAAAAAAGACGCGTTCTTTAAAATTTCAAATGCTAATAAATTTTTTTTATTCTATTGCCTTTAACAATATACATACAATAGAAAATGGGTAAAGAAACTACCAAAGTAACTAGAAAGGCTGCTGCTAAGGACGATGACGCTAAAAAGCCTGCTCGTCGTCAAAAGAAGACTACTACTGGCCCTAAGCGTGGTTTATCCGCGTACATGTTCTTCTCTCAAGATAACCGTGAAGTCGTAAAGAAGGAAAACCCAAGTGCTTCCTTTGGTAAGTTTATATATCCTATTATTTTTATACGTTTATTTATTTATTTATTAAAAAAAAGGCGAAATTGGTAAACTTCTTGGTGAAAAGTGGAAGAAAATGACTGAAGAACAAAAGAAGGTAATAGTGTGATCCAATCATTTCTCTATCTTTTTATGCTTATATTTTCTATTTAGCCTTATATTGAAAAGGCTGAAGCTGATAAGAAGCGTTATGAAGAAGAAAAGGCTGCTGTAAGTATACATAAATGTTGTAATAAGAAAAAATAAACTGATGACAACATCTTTAGCAATCTTAATCATTCTCATTATTACTCTTTGATCATCTCTTTGAAATAAAATCCCTCTTTCTCATATCTTTTTTTTTTTTCTTTCTCCTTATATTGCACGTATTCATTAAAGAGAATAAATAAGAACTGATTCAACCAATAAAAGTTGTGCTCATATATACACACACATATATGTATTTATACACACAAACATCCCCTATTCCCCCGTCCCTCTCTTCTCCCGCCTATCTCTCCCCCCCCCCCTCTTTCTTCTACATGTTAAAAAAGAGAAAGGAAAGATACGGAATCATTCATTGAATACACAATCATGACTCAGCACATGAGCAAAGGTTTCATCATCAACATTCACACACATATTTTTTTATATAAACTTTTTATAGTTGATAATCATATTATGAAAATCTCCTTCCCCCTTTTTTTCATTTAGGCTGGCTGCAGCAAGAAGTTATGAGGTGATGCTGTTTACGTGTACAGTCATACAGTCTGAGATTGAATATAGCTATGAGTATGTTGAAAAATACGCTGAAATGTTCCATTTGGGCTTTAGCATACACACTGTGTGCATTTTAATAAAGGAGAAGGGGAGATATTCTTTTATTCTTTTTTAATAAGGACATAAAATAAGAGAGATAATCTATCATTGATAAACAATCACAAGTTGGCAGCTTAGCAATACGATAAAAAACCAGCCAGCCACACCGCTTCTATTTTGGTGTCATCAAAACTTTATACATAAAAATTTCGGTTAATGTGACCGTCTAATTCAAACATGAAAAAACAAGTGCTGTCAAGGAACTAACTTGCAGTTGAAAAAAAAAGAAGGAAAGAATATGTTGAATGATTTATTCTCATAAAATATGCTGTGTATTTATTGAAATAAAAAAAGTACACATTAGTAACACATGCCAAGTTTTTCTTGTTGACTTTCTTTGCCAGACCGTCTTTGCGCGCAAGTTCCCGCTGGATATTGAATTTGGACAGGAGATAAAGTAAAGGAACGTAGGGAATGCAATAGAGAAGGGATGGATTAAAATATGTATGAAAACTTAGGTCAAGGGTTGTTCATATTTTGGCAACGTCTAATGTTGGTCTCTTGTATGTTCATATGGTCGGGCGTGGGGTTTTTTTTTTTTTTTTGTTATTAAGCAACATACAAGGAAAAGCGAATCTGGTGGGCGGAGAATATAGACTTGACTGTGAGTATAGATTGGTTTGTCATGCTCCTTAAAAATGACGCTTAAAGTACGTTGAATTGTACCAGCAGAAAGCCCGAACTAGCGGATCTATAGACATTAGAAATCCTCTTCATTCTGGGAGAAAAACACAATTGCAGCCTGCTGTATGCTTGGCCATTATCAGTATTAGACAAGGAGATCATATTAATAGTATAAAGCCTTTTAGTTTGAGCTCAAGATTTGTGGTCAAAGAGTAGATTGATAAGATTATGATAAGAGTCAGCACTTGTAGATCCAAAAGAGTCATTCCTGATTGCACAATACCTATTGCTTTGAATAATAGTGGAGAAAGTGAATAGGACAAATATCCTATATGAGCAACAACGGTAATTATCTCATAAAGCCAACCAACCATATGCTATCATGAACCAATTTTGTTGCTTATAGTCAAACTTGATTATGAAGCGTATGTAGATCATCGATTAGAGTGAAATCCTGAAGCTGGCCACAGCTTTTAATAAACGTTATCCATATCATGATTGTACGCTATGCACACAGTATAAAAGCATGTGTATGTACTTTAATGTCTTGCTTACTGATCACTTTAAACCTGTTCTCGCACCATATAAAGCTTTATAAGAACGCTCTCATATAGTCAAAATGAATTGTAAATGCCTCGACTAATTGTGAGCAATCTAAGGGGCGTTGCTTGCTATTGACATTTTCCTGAGACAAATGAAGAAAAAAAGAAAGACACTAGTGAGCCTTTACTTTGTCTGGGCCAAATGCGGTGTCTGTGAAGAAGAGAGAGGTGTGGCTTTGGCCGAATTTTTTGGTTCAGATAGGACGACCAGCTTGTCAGTATTCACCAATTTTTTTTTTTTTCTGTAGTGTGTTTGTATATCTGTCAAACAAGCTCATAATTGCCTTCCTTTTTTTTTCACAGCACACATACATACACAGATATAAAGAATGAAGGAGCAAGTGATTGACAACACACCCAAGAAAATGTAATTTAGAACAAAACAGAAAGAACAACAGCAGGCTAATCACGTCTTCATATAGTCGTTACCTTCAGTTTGGGGTTTTATCACCTCAAAACATGGTAAAGATTGCCGAATTTGAGGTCACTCAGCGCGATCTGTATAAACCAGAGAGTCGTATTCCAGTGAGAGGAGGTGTATTAGATTTGCGATTGGTAAGATTTGATTGATCTTTGAAAGTAAAAAAGCAAACGATTCATTGTTTTCGTAGGGTACAACTTTGAAAGACGCAGTTTGTGAGACTTGTGGACAAAAAATGCAAGAGTGTGCTGGGCATTGGGGGTATGTCAAGCTCGTTTTGCCCATCTTTCACGTAGGCTATTTTCGACCTGTCATCAATATTCTGCAAGAAATTTGCAAGGCAAGTTCCTTTTTTTTTTGTATTTGCTCCCTCTTATATACAATTATGCTAATGTATATATATACATACGATTAGTCATGTAGTAGAGTTATGTTGGAAGAAGCAGATCGACGTATGTATCTGAGAAGATTGAGAGCACCTGGCCTAGACAACTTGCAACGAAATAGAGTGTTGAAGCAAATCCAGGAAAAATGTAAAAAAGTGACTTACTGTATGCATTGTAATGCGGTCAATGGTGTCGTCAAGAAAGTAGGACCACTCAAGATCACGCACGACAAATATCGATTGAAACGAGTAGCAGACGAAGCCGAACAGTTTCGAAAGTCGTTTGAGACCGCAGCTGCATCTATGCCTGAGCTTAAGCCTCATTTGAGTAAAGCGCAAGATGATCTGAACCCACTGCGTGTGCTTCGACTCTTTCAGCGCATTTCTCCCGAAGACTGCGAGTTATTAGGATTAAGTGAAGAGCATGGACGACCCGAATGGTACATCTGGCAATACCTTCCAGTGCCACCTTCATGTATTCGTCCCTCTGTCGTTCAAGAAGACAATACGAGTAACGAAGATGATCTGACAGCCAAATTGACCGAAATCATCTTTACAAACGCCATCATCAGAGCCGGCTTGGAACGAGGTGTGGCTGTATCAACCTTGATGGAGCAATGGGAATTCTTACAACTTGCAGCAGCCCTATACATCAACAGTGAACTTCCCGGTGTGCTCAATGCTAACGCAGGCAAGCCTACACGTGGTCTTTGTCAACGTCTGAAGGGTAAGCAAGGTCGTTTCAGAGGTAACTTATCCGGTAAGCGTGTCGACTTTTCTGGTCGTACCGTCATTTCTCCCGATCCCAATATGCGTATCGATCAGGTCGCCGTGCCTGAACGTGTGGCCAAAGTATTGACTTTCCCTGAACGCGTGAATCGACATAATATCGACAAGCTTCGTCAAAATATTATCAATGGTCCATTTGTGCATCCAGGTGCCAACTTTGTCGAAAAGACCAATGGATTCAAACGATTCTTAAAGTTTGGTAATCGAGCGGAAATTGCCGCTGATCTACAGATTGGTGATATTGTCGAACGTCACTTATCAGATAATGATGTTGTCTTGTTCAATCGTCAGCCTTCGCTTCACAGATTATCCATCATGGCTCACTTTGCCAAGGTGATGCCTTGGAGAACGTTCAGATTCAACGAATGTGTCTGTTCGCCTTATAATGCTGATTTTGACGGTGATGAAATGAATATGCACTTGCCACAAACACAAGAAGCTAAGGCAGAGGCTATGGAGTTGATGGGTGTACGTGGCTAGTTCTTCTTGATAATATGATGCTAATTCTTTTTTTTTATAGGTTAAAAACAATCTTGTCACTCCTCGTAACGGCGAACCATTGATTGCGGCCACCCAAGATTTCATCACAGCATCCTACTTGTTATCACACAAAGATACATTTTATACCCGTGGTGAATTCGCACAAGTTTGTTCCATGATGGGTGACGCTGAACTCCAGGTCGACATTCCTCCACCCGTCATATGGAAACCTCAACGCCTCTGGACGGGTAAGCAAGTGTTCAACGTCTTGTTCAGACCCAACAAAGAAAGTAAGGTATTGTTGAACGTGGAAGCCAAGACCAAGTCGTTTGTAAAACAGGAAGGTCGATTACCAGACATGTGTCCTAACGATGGCTGGCTCGTCGTTCGAAACAGTGAAATCATGTGCGGTCTGGTCGATAAGGCGATCGTAGGTGACGGTAACAAGAACTCGGTGTTCTATGTCATCTTGCGTGATTATGGACCGATTGAAGCAGCTAAATGTATGAACCGACTAGCCAAGCTCTGTGCCCGATGGTTGGCCAACCGAGGTTTCTCGATTGGTATCAGTGATGTAACACCTGGTGAACGCTTGAGTCGTATCAAGTATAATGAGGTCGAAACAGCCTATGCCAAGTGTGACGAAGTCATTGCTAAATATAACGCAGGTCAACTGGAAACCATGCCAGGTTGTAACGAAGAACAAACTATGGAATCGATCGTGTCTGGTATCTTGTCTGCTGTTCGTGGTGACTTGGGTAAAGTGTGTATGGAGGAATTAAACATGTATAATTCTCCTAGTATCATGGCTCGGTGTGGTTCAAAGGGTTCGCAGATTAACGTGTCTCAAATGGTTGCATGTGTCGGTCAACAGATTATTAGTGGTACGCGTATTCCTGATGGTTTCCAAGACCGTTCATTACCTCATTTCTTGAAACACTCCAAAACACCACCAGCCAAGGGTTTCGTCCGCAACAGTTTCTACACTGGCCTTAGTCCAACCGAATTCCTTTTCCACGCCATCTCAGGTCGTGAAGGTCTGGTCGATACAGCCGTCAAGACTGCTGAAACAGGTTATATGGCTCGTCGTCTGATGAAGGCATTTGAAGATCTGACAACACACTACGACCTTTCCGTACGTAACTCTGAAGGTGCCATGCTTCAGTTCTGCTATGGTGCCGACGGTCTGGATCCCATGACGATTGAAGGTGATAGTGTCCCTGTCGAATTTACTCGTAACTTGCGACATGTCCAAGAAATCACACCTCCTAACGGCGAAAAGGGCTTATTGCCATGGGAAATCAACTATATCACACAACAGGAAGTGCAATCTGAATTATGGCAAAAGAACTGTCTGGGCTCATTTATTGATATGGTTGTAAAGTTTGTGGACGAAAAGATTGCGGGCAAACTGGCCAAGATTCGAAAGACATATGGCTTACAACCAGGCTTGGCTATGCCAGATGAAGACTATATGGATATTGATATTGATGAAGATGAAGACGAGGCTGTCAAGCAAGTGGTGCGTAACCTCTTTGTCATTACTGAACGACAGCTCCGTCATTATCTCAACGTATGTGTATCCAAGTACATGAAGGCCAAGATCGAGCCTGGTACGGCCGTAGGTGCAATTGGTGCTCAATCTATTGGTGAACCTGGTACTCAAATGACATTAAAGACTTTCCACTTTGCTGGTGTTGCTAGTATGAACATTACACTTGGTGTACCTCGTATCAAGGAAATCATTAACGCTGCCAAGGTGATCTCTACACCTATCATCAAGTGTGAACTTCACGCAAACCAAGATGTGAGAGCAGCTCGTGTAGTCAAGGGCCGTGTGGAAAAGACAACGTTGGGCGATGTTGCTGTATACATGGAAGAAGTCTATGAACCTAATGAGACATACATCTTGATCCGTATTGACTTGGATGCGATTAATCGACTTCAATTGGAAACAAACCTTCACCAGATTGCACATGCTATCAAGACAGCGCCTAAATTGAAGATGGGACAATTGGTAAAGAATATAATTAGTATGTTTTTTTCAATGACTTATCGAGATAATAGGACGTTCAAACAAGCAGACCAGATATTATTCGTGTCTATGTTCATGCTAAGCAAGACGAATCTGTTTATTATAGCTTAAAGACACTTAAGCGTGCACTGACAAGGGTTGTCATCACCGGTCTACCTTCTGTTGTTCGTGCAGTTATTAGTGAAAAGCAAGGAGGCAAGGGTGCCAAACAGTTACTAGTCGAAGGTTATGGTTTACTTGATGTGATGACGACAGATGGTATTGTAGGTCATTTGACAACATCAAACCACGTTATGGAAGTTGCTGAAGTACTGGGTATTGAAGCTGCAAGGTAAATCTATTTTAAAATGTATATATACGCACATTTGACTTATGCTTTTATAAAAATAGAGCCACGATTATTAATGAAATTACATCTACTATGGATGCTCACGGTATGACTATCGATCATCGACACGTATTCTTGTTGGGTGATATCATGACAAGTAAAGGTGAAGTCTTGGGTATCACACGATTTGGTATCTCCAAGATGAAGGACAGTGTCTTGAGTATTGCATCATTCGAAAAGACAACAGACCATCTATTTGAAGCAGCTCTATACAGTAAACGAGATGATGTTGTGGGTGTGTCCGAACAGATTATTATGGGTATGCCCATGTCTATTGGTACTGGTCTATTCAGATTAATTCAAAAATCACTCAAACCCAAGATTCCCACAGCAAGGCCACTCCTATTTGATATTTAATACACGCTACTCATGAATGATAAATAAAATGATAATTTCAGACAACAAATGATGATAAGAGTGAAATAGAGTTTATAAGAAAGAAAGGATGAGTCTCTTTCCCTCTTTTTATATACCCCTCAAAAAAATGAAGCTCAATTTATGTATTGTTATACGTTGTCAATAAAGAAAAGAGTAATTGCCATTGATCTTAAATTGATATATATATAAAATGCTATCTTTATTGAAGGGGGAGGGGGTTCTTTTATGTGCACATATTGCGTGAAATAACAATATTAATTTTACATTTTATGAGAAGAGAGTATATTTAGTGTCTAGGCATAGGTGGTTGTTGCGATTGCTGGTGACCCATTGCCTGGGGGGCCATAGACTGAGGTCTATAAGTAGGGTAATAACCTGAACCTGCCTTTGCAGGAGCCTCTTTGGAAGGATCAAAATAATGAGCGGGTGGTGGGTTATTTGACATATCAGTGTGATAAGACATTTGAGACACAGTGTCATCATCTTCAATGGTCAATAATCCACGACGAGCTTCGTCTTCTTCTGAAGGCACAACCGAGTGAACCAGATGAACTGGACCCATCTCGCGCATCTGTCTTTCCTTTCGTTCTTTTCGCTTGGCTGCTCGAATACGCTTACGTTCATAATCTTCCCAACGCTTGAGAGGAACCTTGGACGGATCAAAGACACCATCTTTCTTGGAGTGGTCGTCTTTGCCGTCTTCACCTTCGACTTTTCTTGTTTCACCCCAAGAGAAATCGTCAAAGTGCCAGAAAGCATATACGGGCAGAATAAAGTTCCAGACGGGCAATGCAAAGAGGTAGACAATCATCCAGAGTAAATAGACCCACTTGCGAGTAGTGATCAAGATGAGAAGAGCAGGCGAGAAGAGCACAATGATGAGTAGGATGAGTGGAACAGCCGTAGAAAAGCTAGTGATTTGAGACTGGGCCATAGAGACGATCAAGACGACGGTCAGGACGATAGCTACAGGTAAGGTTAATGTACCAACTAAATCCATCATGACGACAAACTGCATGGAGAAGCAAAAGGTACCACAGAGGTTACGTACGAGAACAAGTTCGAACAAATTGTGAATTGTAGAATTGATCCATCGACGACGCTGAGAGAGCAAGACTTTGAATTCGTCTGGAACAACTGTCTTACAGATCGCTTGAGGAGTAAAGACCATCTTACGGAAGGGGAAATTTCGAAGCATGAGTGTAGTCAAGAAACGATCTTCACCAAGCAAAAGCAAGTTCTTTTGATGCAACGTGTCAATCGTATTAGACGAGTATTCTTGCACAATTTCTGGTTTAGTAATGATAGGGACCCAATCACCATCACCCTTGCGTGCCTTCAGTCGGTACATACAGAAACAACCAGGTAAACAAGTGACACCACCAAAGATGGCTTCAAAGCCTTTAGCCAAATGATGGGAAATAAAGTATTCATAAACTTGGATAGCTGTCACCCAAGAGTCTCGTTTGTTTGCGATCTTGGTTTCTCCACATAAGCCCATAATCAGATTATCGTTTACCATACAGTTGACAAGCAGTCTCATGGAACTAGCATAAACTTTGGTATCAGCATCCACCTAAAAAAAGTAAGGAAAGCTTTAATGCATGCTATATATATATAAAAGAGAAACTTACCATCAAAACAAGTTCAAAGTAGTCTGGAGTGACACCCATAAGGTATTGAATCTTTCTAAACAGATCATAATCCAAAGGCGTCATGCGGTCATTATAGGTGACTCGGCTGAAAAAGTTCATCAAAATAAGCTGAGAGTCACGTTTACCACGATTACCAGGCTTAGGCTTTCCTTGTTCGTCAGGGTTACCGCATTTGACGACGAGGATCATTGGAACTTTGTGACCTTTACAGACATAGTGACCAGCATAGACTTTGGCGCAGTTGAATTGCTTAGCACCAACAGCCACAGCAATGTACTCCATGGGCTCAGGATTCTTCATGGATTCGTCGTCAAAGGTAATCAAGCTCAAACACATGTCTGGCGTAGATACTGTTTCACCATGACCAGTGATGATACCGTCAGCGATCAAAAAGAGCAATTTACGGTCGTCTGGATAATCTGTCATTGAGAGTGATTCGACTGTACCGCGGATACCTTCGGTGTTTTCGGAGTAACATGTAATTAACAATACAGTATACAGATCATTACCCACTTCCACCTTTTTTCCTGTGCCAGCTCCAGCGGGAAGATTGCTGATACCAGAATCCATACGTTGTTGCATTATGTTGGCCATTTCCATAGTCTCGTTCTTGAGCATCGTTGGAGATGAACTAGGTGCTGGTGGTGGTGTACGAGAGAGTTTGCGAGAGACGAACCAGGAAAAGATCAAGGCCATAAAGAAACGAGCCAAGACGATAGCCAATACGACGGCCAAAGAGCAAATCAAAATGATGGAAGCAACAAAACACCCTGTTGTCTTTTTATCGATATGACCTGCGCGGTACTTTTGCACTAGACAGTTAATAGCAGCTTTATACTCTGGCTTTCTGAAAAACATCTTGGTGCCATCTCGTCCTCCTTCTGCCCATGAACTGTTGAGGATGGTACGAATGACCGCATCCAAGGGATCATTAAGTTGCGGTGTAGGATAGGTTTGAATATAAGGATCCATGTTTAACACATTACCATCAATCACGAAAAAGTTGGTGAGATTGGCCGAGGCAAGCTGATTCCAATCAAAGCCGACTTGTTTTGTGCTATTGACCAGGCCGTATGTGGCCAAGGTGGCTGCTGATAAGTCACCAGCGATACAGGCATTTCCTCCAGGTGCACAAGGATTGAGGTTAACTGCTAAAAAAGTAGATGCGATAGAATTTCCAGTATTGATGCATTCGGGTATATTTAAGCCGTGGGTGAAAAAGTTGGTGACATCGGTACCTGGCACTTGAACATATTTGTAAGGGTCAAAACTAGGACTTGATTTTGCACTTGACACATTGAATTGCCAGCCAAGGATTCCGATCAAGCTACCTATAAAAAAGGAGTAAGATCAGTATCTTATTTTTAGAAACAAATAAAAAGCCCTTACCTGCGCCTACTGTGTCATTGTAGGAAGCATAATTTAATGTATTGAGAGAAGCCTCTGGTGGACAAAGCACAGAGTTTAAGCCAATGGTAATAAAAGCGACAAAGCCACCCATACAAGCGATGATGAAGCACAATGTGATTTTTTCTCTCCAGGCTTGCTGCATACCTGGATCGCCCATCTTGAATGCCTTAAGCATAGGCGGTAAAGCCCAAAAGGTGACAATACGAGAGAATAAGACCCAAGGATCAAATAGACTTCGACTTGCTGTTGGTTTGCCAGTCAATAGAGGTGGTGGTTCTTGATAACGATCGGGGCGAATCAGGGTGCGGCCTCTTTGGATATTTGAACTTGCATTTGCGATTGAATTTGCGCCAGGAACGATACGTCGAGTAGGTGCTCGACCTAGAGTAGTCGCACGACGTCCGACAGACACTCCACCGTTATTAACATTGTTGTTATAGTTGCTATTGTTATTATTGTTGTTCTGAAAGCCTCCATTATTATAATAGTAATTGTTGTCAGCTGGTGGTTGATAACCATACTGCTGTCCTCCTCCACCACCATAAGGCGCATTATATCCTGTGGGTGACATGGTTTGTTAAAAAAGAAGAAGAAAGAAGGAGTGGCAAAAGGAATAAATAATCAAATTATTTATTTTCAGAAAAAGGAGAAATCAACGAGTAAAAGGGGAGAAAGGAAAAGGCAGTAAAAGAAAAAAGAAAAAAGAGAAAAAATTATTATGGTTGTTACAGAGAAGGGGGCGAGGGTTAAAAAAAGAATAAGCCCAGACAAGATAAATGACAGTTAAGACATTTTATAAGGAACCTACTTTTTCAATGCCTTCTCTTTCTTTCTTTCTTAAACTATTTCTCTTTTTTGTATTTCTTTATCTTGTTATTTTCTTTGTCTTCTCTCTTTAAACATCTCTTTTTCACTTTTGCTCTTCTTCCATTTAACCTTTTTCTTTTTTTATTATCTCATATTCTTTTTAGCTTTGCTTCTTTAATATACTAAAGTAGTACAAAGACAAGGGATCTCCGTTCTCAGTTTAAAATTTTTGCTTGGTATTAAATATGCTTCCTTTTCACCGTTTATTTCATTTTAAAGGCACATAACAACCATCGGTAGATTAAGGGGGGCGAAGATTCATCACTTTTGTCTTGTATACTCTTGATCTGGCTTATTTAAGTATAGCCACATTAGCTTGTAGTACAATAATTGATCAAATAAGCACCATTTCATTCTCTTCTTTTTTAGTTCCTATTCCTTTATTCCATGTGGTCAGTTAAAAATAGCCAGATTGATCGAATCTAAAATGGAAAGCTTGATAATTACTTGAGGGAAGGATGACTAAATTTGGAAGTATGCACTAAACATTTTAAGTACTGTTCGTGGCTTTAGCCTACTTAACATTGATAAGGGCAAATGTCTTTTTCTAAAAGTTGGCTCCTTATTATTAGAATACTGCAAAGTAGTGTTTCAAGAGTAGATCTTGGTAAGATGTTGTTGATCATGATAGAGTAAATCTCTCTTTTTTCCGTTTCTTATAAAGAAGTATACCATTTACTATCACTTGCTACTCTCAGTGAAAGATAAGTTCGGGTATGCAGTAATGCTGATCTGCTTAGAGCCACGATTCTGTTCTTAAATTGTTTATTGCACACTTTCCATTTCAGTTTTTTTTTTTTTTTTTTTTTTTTACTGTGAACTCACATCAATACAGACAGAAGATAACTCTTGTCCTTATTCATATAGAAATATTCAAGACTGATCTCTGCACATTAGATCTAACTAGAGAGGATATTACTACAACTTTGCAAGTTTCATGGTATTTTCTTTCACATTTGGGCGCACCTGTCTGGATAATACTTTACGCTGTTGCATATCAGAGTTTCAGGTTGACAGGCACTTTGCATACTTTATATTACAGAATCTACCTGTCCATATATAAAAAAAAAGTAGAATGCCTTTAAAATAGTGGCTTCGTATGTAGCTTTTGGTCGTAACACCAACTATCTATTTTGCATATGCCCTGTTTCTCTTCGCCTTTTTGAAAATTATGTGCCTCTTGAACTTTGCCAAGAATTTTTTAAATCATACAAGTATTACCTAGAGGCACTAAATCAGTTAGATCTCTATGTTGAATGTTGTTGTTCAAATCAACAAGCAGCCTTTCTTCAAAATAGCACTCTAGCATGTTCTTTACAAACTCTATCAGTTCGTGTTTTTTTTAAAAAAATTTTGCTTGTATGTCATTCACAAAAGTAAAGATATATATTTTGAAACTCGATCCTATACAGTTCTTGAAGGAAGGGTAAAGAGACTGTTTGTTTGCAAGGAGTCCTTGAACAGTATGATTACAGTAGACTCGGTCAAGGGATACATTTTGGCAGTTTACTGGTTACACACATTCTCTCGTTTTCTAGTTTCTATAAACACCGAGCAAAAAAAAATTTAATACTTTCAGTACAAAAAACCAAAATATTCTAGTGGTTCAATATATTCATTTACTTAAGGGAGCATATAGTGAGTCCAACAAACAATGTAGTAACCAGTTAAAATGATGCCGTTGGCCAATCAAAATCAATTTCGCATTTTCAGATGTGAAAGTTGTAAAAAGCAAAGTCTCGAATTTTCCACAGGATAAGCCGACTCTACTGGCCAATCGTTTGCTCCATTCTTTTTGAGTCAGATCGGCTTCAACACGATTGCCTTAGAAAATCACTTCCCTAAGTGGGCGTTTCCTTCAGTGGTTTGAAAATCCATAATACCTATTTTGACTCTCACATCTTTCACCCATGAGCCCAAAGAGGTTTTTAGTTTCTCTTTTCTTTACTCTTATCTTGTCCGCACGCAGTCTTTATTATTGCTTTCAGCAGGATGTTGTATTAAAATAAGATTGTGCTTGAATTGGATGAACCTTGTTTATTTTTAGTAATTTCCATATAAAACTCTTAGTATTATCATTTTATATAGCTTCTTTCCTATTTTAAAATGAATATGGAACTTACTTGCGAAGATAGACAAGAACATGCTGTTCATGAAGAGCTACTAGCTATCGAAACAATAGGCCCTTGTACTCAATTTCTAATGGATAAACCTCCAGAAGGGCCTTGTTGCAATACACCCATTAATATTACCTTATATTACCTTATAAAATTGGCAATATCTGCACATATGTACAGCATTATGTACAAAACATGTTCGTATAACTTGATATGCTCAATTCTCATTAGTGATGATTAATGCACGCAATGCTCATGTTTGCACACAAAATGACAATGTTTATAAGAATAATCTTTCTTTCTCTTTTCATGCTCTTAACAAAGAAATTACGTAGAGACTCATCGACGTATATCTGTATCTCTTTTGTTCTGTGACTACATCATAAGCGCCCCTTTTTGAGATTTGATAGTACACCAAGAAGTGCCTCAAAAAATTTGCCCACGATCCTCTTCCTGTGATCGTTGAAGTTTAGAGCAAGGTAAATCGCTCATTTATCGTTCAAGCTCTCCAATATTGCCTGAATGTCTTGGATGACACGAGGCCACTGTCTGCGTTGGTTATTATTTCCCCTGAAGGATTCTCAAGCAAGCAATTCTGCGATGACTCCTTATGTCTAACAGCGATCCGCTCTATACCCATTCTGCCAATCATAGGTGAAACAGGTTCATGTGTATATTACGGTTTCTATTGCCAAGCACGCTGATATACACCTGATAGATTCTATGATTGCTTTATGCTATGTCTTTGTGATGCAACTGAGAAACATCCTGGCTCTTGAGAAGTATGACAATCCCAGCATACAAACTATTTACAAGATATTCATGCAGGAATTCTCCGTTGCAAAGTACAACAAAATCGACTTGATTTGCACAGTAACCTAAGTACCAACGCTTTTCTACAGAATCTGAAAGCGTCATACCCATAGTGAGGGATAATATCGAAGGACCATGTGCAGATCTAATCGTCGCATTTCTACGTTTATATCAAAGAAGTTTGTACACCCTTTGACGTCAAACAAACAATATATATTTCGTACACTAGTCAAAGCCATCTTAAGTATTAGCATAATATCTTGTATTAAATCCACAGCAACTGATTAATGGCACGGATAGCCTGCAGTAGCTGATGGCACGTTATATTGAATATGCAATTGGGTAACAATGTTTATTCTTGCATATAAAGATCAATTTCTTTTTTCCCTTGAATCACTTTTTTTTCTTTATTCATAAATGACCGCAAAAGGCCTTATTCTATCTGTGTGATGAATGCCAAAGCACCAAGATGAAAGAAATTTATAAGGCTGTCATAAGCTTTACAGGCATCTTTGACAAGAGTTCGTGTAAAGCCTTTACTGCATGGTGAACGAGAAACAAAGCTGCCTTCTTAACCTCAGTAAGTAAGCAGAGGAAAGTGGTAGATGGCTCAAAAACTAGATGTCATGAACTCTACGTGATGAAGTCAGAGTTCCAAGGTAGTAATATGTTGATGATTCCAAAATAAGCTTGTGTACTTTTTTTTTTGTACAGCTGATGTTATAAAAGAAATTGTAACGAGCATACCTCTTTATCAGCAATAAATCGCCAACTTGAAAGAAAGTGGCTATCAAATCATTGATTACGCCCGAAAGTCAGATACAGGGGAAGTTGACGACCAAAGGGCCCAATTACTCCAAAACATGGTATCATGCCTGCGAAAGAGATCTTTGGTAGACGACGTTTTTATCTTGTCATGATGCTCTGCTTCTGATGTACTTTCTTTTCAAAACATGGACAGGAAAAGCCAGTCACTGAAGAAGTTAGAAGGTATAATAGGCAACGCCCAAGGTATGGGATAATAGTGATGATAATCATGATAACAATCAATTAAATATCCTTTTTTTCTCTAGATATGATCAATTATCTTAGTGCTGTCGAAAAATATGCGTGCTTGGTGATGATCGACTTCGGTGGTTTGACCACAAACATCAATGACTTGATGGTCATTGTGCGGTAACATATTTTATATATGAACAAATTATTTTTTACCTGGCCACTTACAATATATTTATTGTTAGCAACCACGATAGGCTCGAAAAAATAATCGTCGACCAGCTGCCTATCAAGAATGAAGTAAAAGTATTTTGACTCTTTATTTTCGAATTTTAAGACGACAGTTACACTAGTCTGTACCCCTTTTTATAAATATCTTTTATGCTCTTCTGTCTTTTCTTTCTTTGTGGGTTCACACATTAAGATATACACAGAAACCTAGAAAAAGTACGAAAAATTATATACATTTACTATTATATTTAATCAGCAATAAAATAAAGCTGTTACCAATAAACATCGAACCCATGAAAGGCCACGTATTTCAGGTCGTCACTTTCGCCTGTAGCTGGCTATTCCCGCGTAGTCAATGGTGTTGTAACCGTTTTCTTTTAAACTATTAATGTATTGCTGGTGCATAGGTCTATACTTGACTATTTCGTTTATAACATCAGACGTCGTTTGTCATTTAGCCCAATAAGTCGATGAGTAGCAAGATAAATTCTTTTGTTAAGAAGGAGTGTTATTAAATAAGACGTATGTGTATTTTAAGGGGAGATTTCGTATTGTCGTCACTGGTATTGTTTGTGCTTATACTGTTACGCTAGTATTGTTATTGTTATAAGCTAGATGTAGGAAAGAATAAATTGTGATATGTAACTCGGGCAGCTTCACTCATTAGGGCAAGGTTTATCCATGATCTGGTATGCTCTTTAACTTGTTTAATTGTATTAAAAGCCCTGGATTAAGCTGTATTGTGATATAAAGAAAGTCTAATGATCTACTAGAGCTTACATTCATTTATGATAGTATACGCATTCATAATACTTTACTCTGTAAAAAGACTTGCAAAGGTTCCTCAGATCAGTATCTCTCTCCACTGCCTAGGTTACAAATATGTCATTAACAATTGATCAGGTACAGCTATCAGAATATCAACTGATTTATTCGAGCATTATAAAGTCAATAGTATACACAGAGTATTGTTACAAAGCAATATATATATTTACAGTTTGAATTTATCCCAGTGTATTGTCCGTTGTATTACCGTAGGCTTGAGGGATAAACTCAGTGGAATAACAGAGGGCCTTCCGTGAGCACATTGAAAAGGAAAGCTTGCTTTTGATAAATTGTCAACAATATCCTGACATTGTTCCAAGCTTAATGGATCATTGAACATGATGGCGCCTATAATTATGTATGTTAATCTCTTTTCTTATTGATAGACAAATGAGCATACTTCTGCAGGCTTTTGATTTTAATATATCGACCATTCCCTTTGGGCAATTTGTCTTGACAATAGCTGGGTTGTACTGTTGCTCCACAATCCAATAGACATAATCTCTTATGATAGTTTTAATTAGAGCGTGATTAGTAATACATCTGTCCACAATGAGTTCTGGTAAGCGTGTAACATAGACTCTATAATAGGCCTTTGTATTAGGTGTGCTACTAAAATAGTGCGAACTTGACAGAATGATTGTGTCATCGCTAATAGAGCTAGCAATAGGTTTTGTTGTTGTCGTTACCAGATGTATACCCCATATCTTCAAGTACTCCAAAATGCGGTCATTCGTCATCATCTCATATTCTGCTGCGGAATTCAAGTCAAATGGGATATAGGGTTCAAGTACCACCGTCTTTCGAGAAATAATGTCGCTCTTCATCATTGATTCTAACTTGATCCGCTCGTCTGCAGCATGTTGATCCATCATTAGTATACTTTTATCATCCAACTTGATAGCAATGAATTTGCAATCGACTTGACCAAGCACTTTTGCTGATTTCAAATCTTCTCTAGACAGTCGATTGGGAATGCTCAGAAATGTGCCAAACTGGCTGTTATCGAGTGGAGTCATGCTGCTGATGTGGCTACCACTCCGTTGACTGTTGTTGTCATGGTTGCTGTTCTGTCTCTTCAGACTAGACCTGTCAATGGTCGAGGCGTGGGAAAAAGGATAATTTGGAGTAGCGGGAGGAGCTAGGAAACTAGAATAAAATGGCGGGTAAGCATCATGATTTTTTTTTAAGCGAAACAAACTAACGAGTGTCCTGTTCGAGGGTCAATGTAATACACTGTTCCTGTTTCTGGGTCAGCCCAAGTTACGGTGGGGTTTGTCGGCTGAAGCATTGTGGATGATGACGATGAATACCTTACGTAGGGGTTCTTGCTACTATCACCGCTTATTATACTTTCTGTCACAGAGTGAGCTGTCTTTCTTTTTTTTGAGACAGTTTCATCCTTCTCTGTTGTTAAACCGGATAGGGTTAGAAACTGCCGAGTAAAACGCTGTAAAAGGGTCTTGATGTAATGGAATTCTGAGAACTCATCGAAAATATCTAAATGAATGCTAATATCATATGAATTCCATTTATCGCACTCTAATTTGATGAAAAATATGGGATGCTTTGCCATATTACGACGGTCTGAATCATATAACGTGAGGTCAAGCTACAGCTACAATGGCGTGTTTACCTTTTTGTTTTGTGGTATGGTTACTTTCCTAATAGACATGATTAAAGATGATCATACTATTTTTTGCTATAACCTACTGTCAGGACATTCTTGAATGACGAAAGGAATAGATTAGAAATAACCTTGTAAAGATCATTCGTGGTTGGTATACAATAGTTGTTGATGACTTTTGCAAACGATATTAGTGTTTTACAAATAATAACTTTCTTATCTCTTCTTACATAGATACTGATAAGTCTGTAAATGAAAATAGATTAGAAGAAGCAACTTATAAATGAATACAAGGATACCTTATTTAGATAACCATGCGTAGAAAAGAAGCCACGGATGTTAATATTATCCTCGTGCATCTCTAAGGGCTCAATATACTATGTTTGGTTAGATTGAATTGAACATAAATTGGGGTTAATCGGTACTTTTATTATTTCTGGTCCCGCTATTTGCCTAAAGGTGTCTATGCTTGAAGAGGTCTACAGAGGAAATAAGTACATGATGCTATCTAAAGTGAGAAATATAACCTTTTTAAGAGAAAGGACCCTTGTCTCCCGTGTACCATCTATCAAGGTAAACTGAATACAGGGAAAACAAAGGGCATACATAGTCAAGAGACGTTTCACAGACTCCATCATGACGACATATTGATAAGGTGTACTAGCTTGTCGTCTACGTACAGGGTACTATGGCAACCAGATCACTATGGTGAATTTGTGCAAGGAAAACATAGTACGGTTAAATACCTTATAAAATAAGTCTTTTACGATCACTATTGTCCCTGATTGAGCCATCCTTGTGTGTTTAGAAATCTCACCCATCAATTTACTCTCCTATAAAATAACAAGGACCCGAGTTTAAAAATTAAAATCCACTGATTATCTCTTTACCCTCCAAACTGCTTCAAAAGTGTCAGTTGACGAGCGATATCTTGATATTATCTTTACAATAGATTCGTTCATGATAGAAGCTAATGCTAAATTAACGTCACGTTAGATAAAGATATGTAATCTTGTATACAAATTACCTTCGCCTCGGAATCCAAATGTCTTTAATTGACTTAGATCTTTTAATGAATGACATTTTGAGGATACTATTTTTGATAATCAGCACTGTGTTACATAATTCAATCTCCTCCTCACCATGTCGTCTTCCAAGCTGAGACATGTTTTCAATACCAATTCCATTATCACTCACTTGAATACTAAACTTTTCAGTATCCACAGAAACATGAATCGAAGATGCTTCAGCATCAATAGCTTTAAAATTTTTTTCAGTTCAATGTAATTTCTCTAAAATGTGTTCCATTTACCATTTTGAACAAGTTCTTTTACACATTCAGTTAATGTCGAAATGACAAGGGAGCTTTTTTTTTTTTCACATTAACGAGCTTTCGAAAAAGTTGAGGAAAGTTGAACTTACGATCTTAATTTGTAGACTACACTTGAATCAAGAGGTTCAATTGGATATCTTTCAATAGACATGGATTCTATTGTCAAACAAAAAAAAAAAAAAAAAAACGAAAGAAAAGGATGAGAAACAAGAATGAAAAAAAAGCATTATGAAAATCAAGTCACATAGTTTATTTACTTCTTTTACTCTTTGCTTTTCCTTTCAACTTGTTTATTAAATACTCTTTAATGTTATCCAAAACAATTCATTTCAAAGAAGGAAGGTGACTCCAGGGTACGATAAAGTTTAAATAAACGTCCGATCAGGCCCGTAATGCGTGAGAAAACACAAATACTGGAACCAATAGAATACGTTTATAATTGAAATACCGTTTATCACTAAGACGCGCAAAAAAAAAGTATTTAAAGACCTCCAACTTTTTCAATTTTTCCAGTTCTTCTCCTTATGAGTCAATATATCGTTGAAGCCAAACCAGGGTCACACCCTGCATCTATAAATAATGAAAAGCAACAAGATAACTTCGAAGCCTCCTTATGTGAAGAACAAATCGAACATGTACCACAAGGCACTGCTTCACCTGGAAAAGCATTGTTCATGTTATTAAAGGCCTTTATTGGTACAGGTGTCATCTTCTTGCCAGGATCGTAAGTAATATTACTATATTTTTAATAAATAGAAATTGTAACACTTTGTTTTGAAAGATTTGCTAGCGGAGGTTTAGTCTTGTCTATTATCCTAATGGTCGTCTTGGGCTCCCTTTGTCTTCTTGCATTCCAACTCCTGGTACAGGCACAACAAAAGATTGGTGGTTCCTATGGCGACGTTGCTGAGCATCTTTATGGTCGCTACTTGAAGATCTTGATTAACTTTTTCTTGTGTATCTCTCAAATGGGCTTTGTTTCTTCCTACATGATTTTTATTTCTGAAAACATTGGTATTGTCGTCAACACAGTCAACCATTGTAATGCTCCTTTTGAAGCCAAGTACTACATTTGGATCATCCTTGCTGCGATCATCCCCATCTGCTGGGTTCGTAAAATTGCCCGTCTGTCTTATGTGGCTATCATCGCCGATACATTCATTGCCTTTGGTCTGATCTGTATCCTTTACTTCACCTCTAGTCAAATTGCTCAACATGGTCCTGGCAATAATATCGTTCTTGTCAACAGCCAAGACTTTGCCCTTATGATCGGTACTGCTGTCTTTTCATTCGAAGGTATCGGTATGGTTCTTCCTGTGGTTGAAGGCATGAAAGAACCTAAAAAGTTCCCTCTCGTCTTGACTATCGGTATCTTTATCTGTATATTCGTATTCACTCTGATCGGAACTATTGGCTATGTTGCCTATGGTGATGTTATTCAAGCCAGTATTGTTGCAAACATCCCTCGTGTGCCTCTATCTACGACTGTTCAGGTACTTTATGCCTGCGCCATGATCCTGTCTTCTCCTTTCATGCTTTACCCTCCTTTGTCAATTATCGAAAAAGCCATCTTCAGAGACCGCTCAGGACAAAAGAGCGTCACCGTCAAGTGGCTTAAAAATCTTGTTCGTTCCCTGATTCCCATCGTCTGCGCTGTTGTCAGTTTCAGTGTCGGTTCATCCAACCTGGATAAATTTGTTTCCTTGGTTGGCTCAGTTGCCTGTTTGCCTCTTTGCTTCATTTTCCCTGGTCTTTTCAACTTTAAGGTTACCAAGAAGAAGTATTTGAGAGCTATTGATATATTCCTTATTATCTTTGGATTCGGAGTTATGGTTTATACCATGTATATCAACATCAACTCTTGGGTTCATCCCAAACCCAAGACTGGACCCGTTTTTGACTTGGATGGTTGTTCAACCTAGAGCAGAAGAGATTGCATCGTTGATCGGCAACTCTTCTTTTTGTAAATAGATTTTATACAAACACACATATTTAATACATGTATAAAAATTCTCATTTTATTATTATAATAAACATTTATATTAACATGATCCAAGACTTGACCGATCCACAGCTTTGTCAATGGACTCGTTTCCTTCATCCTCACAATCTGTCGTGCTCTCACTGGACTGGTACATGATGATACCGCTGTCGTGCAGTGTATTGCCGGTACACATGATCGATGAGTTCAATTTACATTGTTTTTTTAATTCTATTGGGTATACTCCAACCTCGTTTGCATGAGTCATGGCCAAATTAATTTTCTAGAAAAAGAAGTAGGTTTAGTAAAAGTTTTATTCCTTCTGTTTTTCTTCTTTACCATCACCAACCGATTCTCAAAGTCATAATTTGTATATTTAAGTGCAGTCTGCCAGAATGAGACACCTTGAGATCTTTGTTCCATATTCCAAGCAGTGACACCAGCCTCCCTAAAGAACAAGGTAAACAAAGAGTTTTATACATGCACATGCACATACCAAAAGATGTAAGGAACAACCCACTTTTCGGCCTTGATCTTATGTCTTTGGTCAATAACCCAATTGAGATGTATTATAGATTCTTGATGGCAATTCATAGCGTTTAGTATGGCTACTTTGAGCAACAGCAGGACGCCGCGTTGATCTTCGTACTGAGGCGGCGGCGTCTCTGGCAAGAGTTCGCGTGTGCGTATAGTGTATTCCAACTTCTCAGCCTCCAGTATTCCACTGAGCGCGTCATCGACGAGTTCGAGGTTATGCTCGAGTTCATGAATGCCCATGAATTCAAAAGCATTCATGAAATAAAGATACTCGAGGGCGCAGAGGATCATGTCCATGTCCTGATATCCACTTGACTGAAGAAATTTGACCTTGCGAAGAATATATTGTTCGGTCGCTGAAGATTTGTTGCTTATGAGCGATGGGACATCAGCGAGGGCCAAGATTGCTTCGGTACGTTCACCCATCATGTCTAAGCAGGCACCGGAGAGGTATCGAAAGAGAGCTGGTGAGAAGTATTTATCGTTATACAGCGTGGAAAAGATATCGTTAGCTTCCTTCCAGTGACTATACATCATATGGTTCAATGCGATCTCATAGCTACATACATGTCGCATCTCGACCTCGGCCCATTCGTTTTTGCTAATCTCGCTTGCATAGAGAAACGACTGAGATGAAAGGATCAGATTACGGGCCAGACGCGACGTGCGGCCTGCAAAGTACAAAAAGATACAAGAGTTTGGGTAGATACGTTGAGCGTCTAGTAAGGTCTCTATCGCTGGCTGTGTATATTCACCAGCTAGAAGCTGAGGACAAAGCGATGTCAGAGTGGTGTAGTAGGCTAGTAACATGACAGAAGCCATAGGTGATCGAACCCTTCGTTCTTCTAAGCAGAGTTTGAGTAGCACAAACCCAAGATGCTTATCTGGTTTCCATCCAAACGCTGAAATGACGCGTAACACTTTTTGTGGAAGTGATGATAAAATTAAGTGAATGGCTCCTATTCTAAAGAGAAAAATCACTCAGTTTGCCATATATGCAACTTTGTGTTATAGTTACCCAAACTGAATACCAGAGATCGTGCCACCATCAATATATTCATTGTGAAGCTGGCCCATGCGTTTATATTCTTGCCAGACAATGCTATAGCTTACATAAGCTAATATTCATATGACATAAGATATACACCCTGTAGAAAGTACACACACACACGCATTTTACCTCTTCTCAAATTTAATCCGCACTTGACATATCCTGCTACTGTTTCCTGCAATAAGTATAGTATCGCTATTTGAAGACACGCTTCAGCCTTGACAACATGCGCTCTTAAAATACCATTCGAAATGGGTTCAACTCTGTGCATTTCCAGCTGTTTTGGTTGGACAGGCTTGATATCTGTTGGGACAGCTTTTGAAAGTCTGATGTATTGCCGACAAGAGGAAAGATATTGACTCACAGTGCTGCCAATATGTCGCCTAGTAGCTTTATCGATTTGTGCAGTCGCAATTTGGTAAACTTTGGTTAGTACATTAATGGAATCTTGGTGTACTTGGTGATCGAATGTCTACACAGAAATACATTAAGAATAAGGTTATTTTCTTGTTCTTTTTTTCGTACTATAACAGCTATAAAAAATGTTTATGTTGGTTAGACAACAAGCAAAAGGTCATAACAAGTATCTTTGTTTACCTTTTAAAAACATCATTGAGCCTAATCCTAATGCATGCAGTGGATCACTATTGATATATTAATAAGGTTTCTATATCATTATATCGAGGTACCTATTCGCTTGTTGCTCAAATAATCTCTTGGCATTCATAAACTGATTATTGAACAGGCAAAAAACAGCCTTTTGTATAGGTTCATCTGGTATATGTCATGAGTAAATTCTTTTTATTATTATTATTTTCCTTTTTACCTGCTTTCTCTTGTTCCCTTGGAGTGAGCGTATTCGCTTGGATTAATTTAGTGTCTACACAACCGAGTGTGATCAGATTGGCTTCGTTACTTGAACCATGCTTGACCAAAAGATGACTGTGACTGATATGTTGATCAAGTTCATAGTCAACAATAACTTGTTCTTCTCTTTTTAATTTTTTTGATGTATAATATTGCTCTGACTGGTTATTTATTTGAGTTGTTGTCGTCATCTTGCGCGCTTTTTCATCCTCATTTTGCTTTTGTACGATTAATATGGACTGAAGCACATTGACAATCTGCTCTAATTCTAAAGGATTCTCATTATCCCTGGCATGCTCTGTTCCCATTGGATCTACACAATGTTCTTCGACCGTATCTTTTAATTCCAGGACAGCAACCATGTTTTCAGTTATTTAGTAATATAAAAAGAAGAAGAAAAAGCGTCAATCACTTCTTTCAATACAAAACAAAGGGGGATGTCAATAAGGAGACCTGTATATCATATTAGATAATGTCTCCTATTATCCCCTTCTTTTTCTCCCTTCTTTGTTTCTATCCTGTCTTATTATATACAAACTAGGCTTAATGAAAAAGTATAAACACAAAAGGTAAATCACGCCTTTGTTACTTAGACTGCAGAGTATTCGGTATCACCAATTTAATAAAAAAAAGGAGTGTATGCTATTTAGGCAAACAGAGGCTCAAACACGTTGGGTTTATACTTTAATAATGCTTCTTTATCCGCCTGTCATTTTTATCTTAGTTTTGATTGATTTGCTATCTTGTCATCTTACCTCTTCTGCTCCTTGACAGGCAGCTTCAAATATCTTGTAAAGCTGCCTCTGTAGTTCCAACATTTCTCTATCTAAATGCAATCTATGTCAAGAAAAAGGGGGAGGGAAAGAGAAGACTGGTTTACCTTGCTTATCAAAATAGTACGACCAACATTTTGCCACGCTACTCATGATGATCCCTTCATAAGTGCTGATCCTTGGCCAACATACTCGAATGACAGCTATTAATCCGTGTGCAGCCAATTGATTAATCCTTCTCATCTCTAAACTATCATTGTAAGGAACAGTCGATAGTGATTGACATAGCGAGGGAATGATGCCTTTCAGATATTGTACACTTGATGCACCTAGTTCTTCAAATAGTCTTGGAATGGGTTGAAGCAAGATAGGTAAAAATCTGATCTTTTCTCCTGCATGTAATAGTCCTGTCAGAACGCCTTCAGTCATTACTCTTTCGTACAGATCACAACGGGATTGCCCTTGTTTTGTATAAGCTATAAGGTCCATTATACAAGGATATGCTGCTTCAATAAGAGGGGCATCTCTGTCTTGTGTCAGGTAGTATAGGCAATTAAACAATGACTATTAAGTGTGAGTTATTGCATACATATAGCCCAGCTATGACTACCTCCAAAAATACATTATCCAGATTGTTCTTGATGATGCCAGCCGAATTCATTCGAGTGACCATGACATGAACAAGAGAAACTCCCTTAGTTCGATATTGAATATCATAGTCATCAAGGACAATCAACACAGGTGGGATCAACAAGTTTAGGTTTTCCTCAAGTTTCAAAGGCTGTGCACGCGTAAAAAAAGTTTATTAATATACTCCCTTCTCCTCTTTCTCAAATCTCTCTCTTTTTTTTATACACATACATCAGCTTTGTTTATGATCCAATATAGGTTGTCAACATGATGATCTGACTTCCAAGCTTGTTGCTCATGTAGCTCATCATCTCTTGCATACCTCGAAGGTCGCTTAAGTGCAGGGTGATGAAGAGCATTTTTTTTGAATACAGGTTGTAATTTGTTTGATAGAATGTCTCTCAAATGAACTTGTAAAATATGATTGGACTTGTCACAAACATTCTCACAGGTGCAGCTGAAGGTCTGAATGAAGTTATCCATGAGTCTCTTTCTCTCTATGTGTGTGAGTGTGGTGTGTAAAATTTTTTTAATGTCCGTAGCACTGAATGCACACCAATTTTTTTTATAGTGCGTGTACTGTTATTCTCTGCGTAGGGTTCCCAAAACAGAGAGAAAGAAAGAAAAAGAGAGTTTTTTTTTTTCTTTTACTTTTTTTTTAAAAAGAATCCTTGTATTCTTTTCTTTACATTTGTGTGTGTGCTTGTGTGTTCATTGACTTTAAAGGAGTTAACTTTACACGCATACTAAAGAACAGTAATTTATCAATTTTTTTTTTTTTTTCCTCTCTCTTTCTGTCACATTTGGCTGTGTCTACAAAATACGCATTTGGACTGATTGAACAAGATCTCATATACAAAAACAATAAAAAGCTTTTATCAGCAAATATAATCAATAATGACTGAAGTAATGGACGATAGTTATATGATGGCAGAAAATGGTTAGAAAAAAAAGTGTTTAGCGTAGTAAAAATAATAGATTAACCTTGTTTTTCTTACAGAGTATTTTTTGCCCGATGACCAAATGTATGAAGACGAGCCTATCACGTAAGTGTTTGATTTTAAAAGAAAAAAGAGAGAGAGCTAATATTACATGTAGTCAAGAAGACTGTTGGACAGTGATTGGCTCTTTCTTTGAAGAAAAAGGTCTCGTTCGACAACAGTTGGATTCCTTTGATGAATTTGTTCAAAACACAATGCAAGAGCTAGTAGACGAAAACTCAAATCTAGTATTACAACATGTTGGAGGCGATGGCGATGTCACTGTATGTATTAAAAAAAAAAAAAAAATGGAAATGGAATTATTAATAACCCAGCTTAGAAACGATATATTATTGACTTTGGACAAATTTACCTGTCAAAACCTACAATGACAGAAGCCGATGGTAGCTCACAGCCTATGTTTCCTCAAGAAGCTCGTATACGTAATTTAACGTAAAGTATATCATTCATTTTAGAAATACAATTCTGACTATGGACATATTAGATATGCAGCTCCATTATACATTGATATGAGTAAACGTACACAGATAGCAAAGCCTTACGACCCAAATAATCCTAGAACAAATCCTAATGATTACTTTATGGATGAGTCAACAGAACCTCCTCCAAAGACAAAAGTGTTTGTAGGAAAGGTAAAGAAGCAAATAAATAGTGATAATAGGGCAATTTTGACACATCTTTTAGGTCCCAGTGATGCTACGGTCAAGTTATTGTATATTGCACGACATGCCTGAAAAAGAAATGCACGACTTGAATGAATGCTCTTTTGATATGGGTGGTTACTTTGTCATCAATGGTTCAGAAAAAGTGTTGATTGCCCAAGAACGCATGGCTACAAATACAGTCTATGTGTTTTCAAAAGCACCACCTTCCAACTTTTCATACACTGCCGAAATTCGATCACAACCAGAGAAGGGCTCCAAAAATGCTTCTCCGTTATTTATTAAGATGATGAGGCCTTCAGCCGAGCGTGGTACCGCTGGCCAATTCATTCGTGCTGCTCTACCTTATATCCGATCTGAAATACCTGTAGTAATCGTGTTTAGAGCGCTTGGACAAGTATCAGATCGTGATGTCTTGGAGCATATCTGCTATGATCGCAATGACTATGAAATGCTGGAAATGCTTAAACCATCAATTGAAGAAGCGTTTGTCATTCAAGATCAAGATGTTGCTTTAGACTTTATCGGTAAAAGAGGTACCACAGTGGGCGCAACGAGAGAGAGACGTATCAAGTACGCGTCCGAAATTCTTCAAAAGGAGCTGTTACCTCACGTAGGTACTGCCTACAAGACAGAGACCCGAAAATCATACTTTTTTGGTTACATGATTCACCGTCTGCTCCTTGCCGCTCTCGAACGTCGTGAATTAGACGATCGTGATCATTATGGCAAGAAGCGAATGGATTTGGCCGGTCCTCTTATGGCAGGTCTCTTTAGAATCTTATTCAAGAAATTGACAAAGGATGTAGCCAAGTATTTGCAAAAGTGTATTGAGTCCAGCAGAGAATTCAACTTGTCGTTGGCTGTCAAGTCCAACACGATCACGAATGGTCTCAAGTACTCATTGGCTACGGGTAACTGGGGTGATCAAAAAAAGGCAATGCAATCTCGTGCTGGTGTGTCTCAAGTATTGAACAGATACACCTTTGCTTCTACTCTTTCTCACTTGCGTCGATGTAACACACCTATTGGCCGTGATGGTAAAATTGCCAAGCCTCGTCAACTGCACAATACCCACTGGGGTCTTGTCTGTCCTGCAGAAACACCTGAAGGTCAGGCATGTGGTCTGGTCAAAAACTTGGCTTTGATGTCATACATCTCCGTCGGTTCATCCGCTAATCCTTTGATCATGTTTTTGGAAGAATGGGCCATGGAAAACTTGGAAGAACTCAGTGCGACAAGCATTGCGGATGCTACCAAGGTCTTTGTCAACGGTGTCTGGATCGGTATTCACCGTGACCCTGGAGAATTGGTCACCTCTTTGAAACAGATGAGACGGTCTGTAGACATTTCGCCCGAAGTCAGTATTGTCCGTGATATTCGTGAAAAGGAATTAAGAATGTACACAGACGCAGGTCGTTGTTGCAGGCCTCTCTTCTTGGTTGATAACCAACAGTTACGATTGACCCGTGAGCACGTATCTCGTCTTCAAGATCCTGATGACGACTACGGCTGGCAAGATCTTATTGCTGAGGGTATTGTAGAATATGTGGATGCGGATGAAGAAGAGACAGCAATGATTTGTATGACACCAGAAGATCTTGCAGAATCACGTATGGCTGCGCAGTATGGTGCTCCTCTTCAGCAGACTCGTAGCTTGGCCAGTCGTGTAAAATCACAGACAGGCACATATGCACATACTTGGACACACTGTGAAATTCATCCAAGTATGATCCTTGGTATCTGTGCCAGTATCATTCCTTTCCCTGATCACAACCAATCTCCTCGTAACACCTATCAATCTGCTATGGGTAAGCAGGCCATGGGTGTATATCTTACTAATTTCCAAATGCGTATGGATACGCTTGCCAATATTCTGTATTATCCTCAAAAGCCCCTGACAACTACACGATCCATGGAGTTTTTGCGATTCAGAGAACTTCCTGCTGGTCAAAATGCTATTGTAGCCATATTATGTTACTCTGGTTATAATCAAGAAGATTCTGTCATCATGAATCAGAGTAGTATCGATCGTGGTCTCTTCAGATCCTTATTCTTCCGTACTTATATGGATGCTGAGAAGAAGGCGGGTATGATGTTTATGGAAGAGTTTGAGAAGCCAACACGTGAGACGACGCTTCGATTGAAGCATGGTACATATGAAAAATTGGAAGATGATGGTCTTATTGCTCCCGGTACGCGTGTCTCTGGTGACGATATTATCATTGGTAAGACCGCGCCTATTCCTCCAGAATCCGAAGAGCTGGGTCAGAGAACGAGTACACATTCAAAGCGTGATGCCTCTACTCCTTTGAGATCAACAGAAACGGGTATTGTGGATCAAGTGATGTTGACAACAAATCAAGATGGTTTAAAGTTTGTCAAAGTGCGAGTTCGTTCAACCCGTGTGCCTCAGATGGGTGACAAGTTTGCCTCTCGTCACGGTCAGAAAGGTACGATTGGTATCACTTATCGTCAAGAAGATTTCCCCTTCTCTGCTGAAGGTATCACACCTGATTTGATCATTAATCCTCACGCTATTCCTTCTCGTATGACAATTGGTCACTTGATTGAATGTTTACTTGGTAAAGTGTCAACATTGACTGGTAATGAAGGTGATGCCACACCATTCACGGATGTTACAGTCGAAGCAATTTCACAAGCATTGCAAGAACAGGGATACCAGCAACGTGGGTTTGAAGTCATGTATAATGGTTTTACTGGTCGTAAGCTGAATGCTCAAGTATTCTTGGGTCCAACCTATTATCAGCGTTTGAAACACATGGTAGACGATAAGATTCACAGTCGAGCAAGAGGACCTGTACAGATCTTGACAAGACAACCAGTTGAAGGTCGTTCAAGAGATGGTGGGTTACGTTTTGGTGAAATGGAAAGAGATTGTATGATTTCCCATGGTGTTGCTCAATTCTTGAAGGAACGTTTGTTTGACGCATCAGATGCATATCGTGTCCATGTGTGTGATATCTGTGGTCTGATGGCTATTGCAAACTTGAAAAAGAACAATTTTGAATGCCGCGCATGTAAAAATAAGACTAGAATTTCACAGATCCATATTCCTTATGCTTGTAAACTTTTATTCCAAGAATTAATGGCAATGAACATTGCTCCTCGTATGTTTGTTGATGCAGACTAAATAAAATTACATATTTTAAATTCCGACATCCATCTTTTTAATAAAAATTCTTTTACTTTTTTATATCTTGAGCAAATAATATGACCGATGATAATAATAATAACAACAATAATACGAATATAGCGTCTAGCTCGTCTCACATATCAAATACTTCCAACAACTCACAAACACCACTTAATGCTCAACCTGAACCTGTCACTGAAGCAGAAGGAACGACCTACTTTTTGCTTGATGTTGCTGAAAATGAGGACGAAACGAAAAGTGTGAGTAGTAACAGTAGCAGCAGCAGCAGTAGTAGTAGTAGTAGCAGTAGCAGTAGCGTATCAGCACAGGTTGTCATTGACCATGGTAGTTCAATACCACGTCGATTAGAGAAAAACAGTGCAGCTCATCTAGTACGGTCAGGAGACGAGGAATCAGAGAGCGATTATGCATTCTGTTATTCTCCCACCAGACGAGATTCTGACACAGAATCAGCTTTAGTCAGTAAGCAGAGGTCAGAACAAACAGCAAGAGGAACCTCCAACCTACACATGATGGAAATTGCGATGGATAGAGAGGATGATCAGGATGATGCCGATGACGAAGGTGTGTATGAGCCTGGTCGTGATCATCGGCAAAGGCATCGCCGTAAAGATTATAATATGAAAAAAGGTGACCTTGCTAATGATAAACGAATGGTGACTGTGTATACCGAAGAGGATGATGATTTAGTAGATGAAATGCCGAGGGGAGACCGCGAAAGGATGATAAGACATAATAGAAGACATCGTTATAGAAAGAGATCAGTGCCTCGTAAAAGACTACACAAGCGAACACAGCGAGTATTGCAAACAAACTTACAGTCCCATTCATGGAGTAGAAGAGAGAGCTTACAATCAATCAGGCATCCAGGTCTGTCAAGCGAAGAAGCGCTGAGGTTAGCTTATAGATGATGCCTTTTTCATGTGTTCAGGCCTCTCACAGACTATCTCTCTATAGCAAGCTTCTTTTTATCTCTCGTCAAATATTAGAAGAAGAGAGAGCCCGGATTGCTAAAATATCAGAAGGTAAAAAGAAAAAAAATATAGACATGAGTAATCCAATCTAATCCTTTAAAAAAAGACGCCAAATTTATCCTGAGCCGACCTGAAGTCTTTATGTGTTTTATTACAGGATTTGCACTATTAGCATTTTATATTGCAGGGTACTTTAAGAGTGAACCATACCAGTACCGCATCACTGGTCTTTTAGTAGAGGCTCTGCTGATTATATCGATGGGCTTGTGGAATATCTTTTTGTACTGTCGAGAGCGTACATTGACTGACAGGGAAATGATTGATCGTGCAGCGACTATCATAAATGCACTTGAAAGAAATGGAATGAATATGGTTCAAGTATGTAATGATTTTAAAAGGAAAATAACCGTCTAACAGGAACATACAGGACACCAAAATCCCATTCATTCCCTCCATGTCTGTGGCCAAAGTAGTTCGTGATGGGGTTGTACGTATTTTCCCTGTTAATTTACTAGTTGAAGGAGATGTCGTAGAGATGCTCTATGGTGATGTTGCACCCGGGCGTATGAAATACATTCATAAACCAAACCCTATCAATAAATCTCAAGACGACAACAAAAACGGCAGCAGTAGTAGCAGTAGCAGTAGTGACGATGCTAGAAATGACGCTTCACTAGAGGACAAAGAGTACTATTTGGCAAAAGATCAAACGTTCAAACCGTCCTTCTTTGGTATACCTCCACCTTCAGGTCTGATGGAGGAATACATGAGGTCAAGAGGTCGGCATCAGTTTGTTTTACTTGAAACACCGCTTGAAAAGAACATACGAAAAGCATTAAACCAAAAGAGACCACTTCCTGTCTTATACCAAGAAGCGGATTATATTATGCGTATATTCTATAGATACATCCTCTGGGTTGTCCTGGTCATTGCACTGCTTATCAACTTGTTAAGGTATGGGCTTAAAAGTATTCTCGCCAATCGTTATCCTTCAGACCAGCTGGTTGAAGAAGCATTCACAATGTCGTTCTATACCATCATTCCACTTCTCCCCCTTTGTTTGCCCAGTATGTGGGTGATTGCTCGAAGTTTCGGTAATGCACAACTGTTGATCCTGTTTGAAGCACTTCAAATCTCCAAAACGGAATACGAGGATGATGATGAAGTAGACGAATTTGATGCCGAAGCACCGCCACCAACAAAAGATTTGGAGTTGAGTCCAAGTAAGAATTTGCAATGTGTGTTTGGTATACGAGTCTTATTTTCTCTTATTATAGATGCTGTTTGGGATAGGTTTCTATCGCTATTGACCAAATGGGATAGACTGTCTTTAACAAGGTCCACGAATTTGCTAGAGTCATTGGGAAATACAACTGTCATCTGCTGTCTGGATAAGGAAGGCACAATTGCAAATGTAAGATTCATATTCAAATCTGTGTACATTGTATTAAATAAAAGCAAAGCCGTTTCCTACTGTAGAACAACTCATGTTTCCAAATAATCAAGAGGATATCACTTATTTGGATGTCGAAGAAGACTCGGATGCGCCAACAGGACTCAAGTTTGAGGATCAAGATTGGGACCATTACTTACCGTAAGAGAGAGAGAGTAAAATGACTAAAGGCGCCTTTTTATACAAATATATATTCTTCTAGGTGCTTAAAACCACTTGGTTTAAATTTTATGCTCAATACTAACTGTGGAGTGCTTCAAAGCCGTAAGCGATCTGAATACCACCGTCGACGTTCAAAGTTACACGTCTATGGCAAGACATGTCCTGCTCGGCAGTGTAAGTCTGAATAGTTTGACACATACAATAGCCAACTCATATACAACATAAATTAGCTTGTTTATGCCGCTTAGGTAAATGTATTGGATTCAGAGAAGAAGCGCTTCAGTCTTTTGCTTTAAGGGCAGAGATATACACATTTGCACCTTACCATGAGATATTGAATACGCCACGATATAAGTTTAGTAAATATTATCAATTTGAAGTACCCAACGCCTTATCTACAGTTTTTGAAGAAAAGACTTCAGGTAGAGAGAAAAAGAGAGTTTTTAATATGATAGCTTGATAAATGACATACACGCCTATTCTTTCTCTGTTTATAGGTAGCTATCAACTCTTAACGGATGGTCATCCTTCACTTGTGATGGATAAATGTTCTGACTACTGGGACGGTACATCTTTGCAGACAATGAGTGAAACGGTACTGCTGATATCAGAGAAAAATATACGTACTAATACTTTTTTCCTTAGATGGAAAAGAAAATCAATGACTTCTTTCAGAATGCCATGGTCCACGACATGCAATGTATTGCCTACGCCTATCGTCCTATCAATACAGTAAACGACGATAGGATCCCATTTTTAAATCCAACAGACGACAAAGATGAGGACCCTGGTTGTGCTTTTGTTGTGTTGCCATACAAGCCTCCAAGCTCGGACAGTTCAGATAGCTCAGACAGTGATACAAGCAGTAGCAGTAGCAGTCGCTCATCAAAGAAGAAGGCATTGAAGAGAGCAAAACCGGTAGATAAGCAAGAAGAGCAGCAGCTAAAAGATTTAGCATTTGGCAACAGTGGTTCTGAGACGGATACGACAGATTATTCATTTGAAGAGGATGAGCCCGTAGATGAACAAGAGGAGGCTGCATTTTACAAGGAAGCTGTCAAAGGACAAATTTTCTTGGGAATGGCAGCCATGTGTCATCAACCCAAACAGGTAAGCAGCTATTAATAAAGCAATTACGGTTCCTAAGAGATTATATAAGAACGTTGTGGATTTCATTGAGGACCTTGGCCTTGCAGGAATACGCTTTGTCTATTTCTCCACAACTGCAGAAAGAGAATCCAAAGGTAATGATTGGTATTTTTTTTTTTTTTCAATGGAGAGAGAGGATTGACAATATTTTTTTTCATTAGCTTTTGCAGAGAGGTTAGGTCTCGAAACAGATTGGAATAGCTGCATACTTTTGTCCAATCCTAATGATGAGGACAATTTTGGCAATGGCTACCTTCAAACACACGATATCAAAGCCCAGCTTCCACGAGGCATAGATCAGATACGGCCTCATCTAGAAGCAGTGGATGATATCCCGCTTCATGTATCTTTGTTTGCTGAGTGCACGCCACTAGCCATGAAAGAAATGATTAGAATATTCCAAGAGAACGGGGAAGTTGTGTGTTCTATAGGTAATGCACTTAATACTAAAAGCACAGAATCATTTGCCCTGGTAAGCAATATATACGCATATTGACGTAGGAAGTTTTAGTAATGTTGATTATTTTGCTAGTCGGATATCAGTATTGGAATGGAGCCTATGCATACTCGCGCACAGAGTAAAGGTCGGCTGACAACAAATGATCGGCAGCCACCACTGGCCGTGGGTGCATCCCTGTGCAGTCTACCCTGTGGGTTATTTATGCAATACGAAACAAGTCTGTATGCCGTAACCCAGCTCATCCGCGATGCTCGAAGATTACTTGGCTGTGTACGAATGGTAAGATAATTGGATTATGTTATGGAACGTTAACTAATATACACAATTTAGGGGTTTGCTTTTTATGCTGCTGGATGCATGTCCATTGTCTTGATGTTATTGCTAAGTTTTTGCTTTCTATTTCCACCCATCCTTACTGGTTATCAGATCTTATGGACCATGTGGATCATCCTTCCTATCTTGTCCATGTCGATGCTCTTTACACCCCATGATGACAGTATTATGCTCCTTATGCCAGGTTAAGTACATACATATATTGATTTGGTTAATACTAAGACTTATTGCAACAGGTAAAAATATTGAACACCTTCAAGACTTTTGGAGGTTTATGTACTACTTTGTCCTCCGTTTTATTTTGGTTATTGCCATGTGCATAGTTATCTATGCTCTGTAAGGAGGAATAATTGCTTAATCAAAACAGGATTTTGCTAAAATTAGTTTTGTATAGAACACTTGTCTACTCACTTGGCATTAGCGTATCCGAAGTCTTTGGAAAATTCGGGGTCAATGGCTGGTATCACTGGACGCCTGAAGAACAATGGGCGGTTATCTATGCTCAAAACTTTCTTCTCATTTCTTTTGTTTGGTATCTTGGTAAAGTATATATTTCATATAAACAAAATCACAACTAACTATTGAATACAATAGCTTTCATATCTTACTCATTTCTTCATCGCACAGCTTCTATCATTGAGTTTATACCTTTTCGAAATACAGTCTGGATTGGGGCCTTCTTTGCTAGGTAAGTTAAGGAGAGAAAGAGATGCTTTTTTATTGACCAATCAATAGCATTGCACTACAATTCTGTTTCTGCGCAGTCTCGCTTGCGCACGGACCATTCAAACTATCCAGTTTCCCTTGGTTTATTTACTTTTTAGGCTTTGCTTGGCCTATTGTATTGATACCTGTTCAAGAAGTTGTAAAGATGCATGACAGTAAGGAGTTTACTCGATTTCAGAAACGATCCAAGCTTGAATTTAGTACAAAGGTAAGAGGGAGAAAAAAAGGAAAGAGAGATGCAATGTATTCTAACTTGTATTTTTGAAAAGCTTGGTATGCATTCACCTCTTTAAAGTAAACACTCTATTTAATAAAAGCAAAGATATTCATTTGAAAATGAGAATTACATTTATGAGCGAATTGTTGCTAATGTTTGTTAGGCTATGAATCACTTGAATAAATATTTACCCTTGACCATTTTCGTTAGGATGTATGATACACCATGCATCTAATGTATCGTTAGTACTAGCGATCAAATCTATACTTGATCATATCCGTCCATCTTCGTTTCAAAAATTAATATAAAAGGCTGATCTCTTCAAGATGCAGTTTGTTTTAATATCACATTTGGTTTACTGCCACATTAGCGTCTAATCGCACCTCTACTGAATTTTTCCTCGCTATTTCTTTTAATAAGGTGGAATTATGTCTTCTTTATTAATAGAGTACGCCACTTAAGCTATAAATAATATTATCTAAGAAAAGATGACACCAGTTCCAAAACTGACTGTAGTATGCCTACTCTTTAAAAGTTTTTCGAGTTTTACCCGTAACAAGAAGGAAACAAGACAATAACTGGCCCTCGTGTTATTCGGCTTTACTCAGAATAATGTGACGATTCATATCGCTTCTTACTGTCGTTGACGAAATAGAGACTAAAAGCGAGGCACGAATCACTCAAATAGTCAGTAATTGGTTACAAATTATATTTTGATATAGCTTGTTGTCCCCTTTCCTTTTTGCATATAAAAATTACTTACTTTGGAAATTCTGCAGAAGGTCAAATGGGACATTTATTTTTCTTTTAAAAAAAAAAAAAAAAAAAGCGCGATTTATAAAAGACGCAATAGAAAATCTTTCATATTATAAAAAACAGTCGATTTAATAATGGTTGACATGGAAACGATATACGTTGTAAGGAATCCAAGGAAACAAAAGACCACCGAAAATGTTGTAGCTTTTTAAGAAATAGTTTTATACATACACATTTATTTATATATATATACTAGTACAACTTGATTACTTGCGATTGATGAAGCTTGTTTGTTGTCAGTGTTCTTTATTTAATAAAAGCATTTTTTTCCTCTTCTTTATCTCCAAGAATAAAACAAAAAGAGCGAATTATCATCTGGATAAATATTCTACTTCAACCATACAATTTTCTGGTGTTGCACATTCAATTTTCTTTTTTCTTCTTCTTTTTTAATATTTAAATGAATGATATTTTAACAGAAAGAAATAATCAGCAATTGACTACAGATTATGACTTGTATGCCAACTTACTTTTGTCAAACTTACTTGACAAAGAAGAAGAGACGAAAGAAGAACAGAAAGAACAGGACGAAGAGAAGCCTATTGACTTGACCAACGATGTTATTTGGTAAGTGGATATTATCCCTCCCTTCTTGGCTTTATACTGACTTGAGTCAAAAAGGGTCCCGGCTGATAAACATCCTCAGATCGCACCAATTGAATTTGCAAAGTTTATTGAAGTCCATGGAGCTAATACACCAGTGAGAAGAAGGGCCTCTAATTTACAGCGCAGAAAATCGGTTCTATCACAATCACATACATTTGAAGACGATGAGTTTAGACATAACTTGCAGGTATCAGATGAATCTAGAGGTAACAATAGAAAGAAAGAAAAAAAAGAGGGGATATATATGAGCTAAAATGTTTGTAATACCAGATGATATGCTGTTTGACCGCAACTCTAGCTCAGTAGACGATTCACCTATACTTGCACATATACCAGACAAGACGCTACTTCGTCGATCTGCGTTTTCTGCAAGAGGAAGAAGCAGGAGGAGCACAGCCAAGACAAAGAGATCGACATCAGAGAGAAGGCCAGCCTCTTCTACTGCAGACACATGGGATAAATCAGAAGGCGTTAGTCTCTATGACCAACCAGTCAACATGAGTGAATGGATAGATTTAGGAAGCGCCAGTCTTGAATCCGATGATAGTTCTCAACGAGGAATACTCTCACGTGTGCATGATGCGGAGTCGCAACTTAGGACACAAATCAATAATGAACAAGAAGAGCAAGTAAAGGAGAGGGAGTCAATAGAGATAAAGAGGCCCACCATGGTGCGGCCGCCGCCAATATTGAATACAAAATCAGAATTAATTGAAAAGAGACCATCGTGGTTTACAGGATTATTTCATACAAAGCAAGGAAAGCTAATGAATAACCTGAACAACAAACAATTTTCTAATCTTGCAACATTATTTACACGTTCATTGAAATCTCAAAATAATACCATGACAACTAATGCGACTAATAAAAAAAAGAAACCCAGCAGGCTGGAAATAACCTCATCCACATCACCACTAACAACAACAAGACCATCAGCCACTACTACTACCACCACCACTACTACTACTACTACTACTACTATTGCATATAATTCTAATCGGTTACCCCTTCATGTTGAACGTGCAATCTATCGACTATCACACATGAAACTTGCAGATCCAAAACGACCTCTACGTCAGCAAGTACTTATATCCAATTTAATGTTTTGGTACCTTTCAATTCAGCAAACAATACTAGTTCAAAACTACAACAATAGCAGTAATGCCAATAGCATGGAAGATATTTATTCTGTTCCCCCGCCTCAGCAGCAGCAACGAAAAGTCAGTAAAATGTCACGACTAATCAATGCAGCCAAGAAGCGGACACAGCAACCTGAAAGGCATATTCAATTTGAAGAAGATGATTTACCTTTAAGTCATTACAAAACTTAATTTTGAAACCCAGTCTTATGATTTTATATTATAAAGCCTTAATCCTGTTTTCTCTTTTTGCTTTCTTCTTTTTTTTTCTTGTTCCTTTTTTCCCTATACATATTTCAGGAGTAAAAGAAAAAGAAATAAAGAAATAGAAAGAGAGTGACAGAAAAAAGCAAATGGGAAACAATGTTTCAACAAAGAACTCAAAAAAAGAAAAGAGAGCAGCAAAGAGCAAGAGTATGCCTTTACCTCCTCGTATCGAAATAGAAAACGAGCACTCTACAAATACAGCCCACTCTGTCAGCTCTATTCTGCTTACATCCAACAACTATCAACAGCAACAACAACAACAACAAAACGCCTTATCTCAACTAAACCCCGAGTATCCTCTTCCCAAGCAAGAGCCATTACAGGGGAAAGTGGAAAACCTGCAGCAACATAAAGCATTAGAAACATCGGATTTCTGGCCACCCAAGGGACAAAAACTACAACAGGATGATGTGAACCAACTGACAGTAGGCTCGGTCAATCAACTAACTGTGAACTCGATATCAAGCGAGTATTCTTCAACAACCAATATTGATGAATATATCAATCGTCTCTTAGATGCTGGTTATTCATCCAAAGTGTCCAAGACTTTATGTTTACGACATTCAGAAGTCACTGCGATCTGTAGGGCTGCTATGGATATATTTTTGAGCCAACCTGTACGTCTAGAATTGATAGTATCATCGTTGTAACTAACCTTTTTTTTTTTCCAGTCCTTGCTGGAGCTTTCACCTCCTGTAAAAGTAGTAGGTGATACACATGGACAATATACCGACTTGATTAGATTATTCGAGATGGGTGGATTTCCTCCGTCTGCCAATTACCTCTTTTTAGGCGATTATGTGGATAGAGGAAAGCAAAGCTTGGAGACGATTCTACTTCTATTTTGTTACAAGATCAAGTATCCAGAGAATTTTTTCTTACTACGAGGAAATCATGAATGTGCCAATGTTACCAAAGGTAGACTACTTCTCTTATTTTGGAATGGAAAATCGTGTTTTTGACAATTTTTTTTATTTGATAGTTTATGGATTCTATGATGAATGCAAGCGTCGCTTGAGCGCTAAAATGTGGCGTACATTTGTAGATGTCTTTAATACCCTCCCCATTGCAGCTCTAGTTGCTGGTAAAATATTTTGTGTGCATGGTGGGCTAAGCCCTTCCTTACATAGTATGGATGAAATACGTAATATCCAAAGACCTACAGATGTACCTGATTATGGATTACTTAATGATCTCCTCTGGTCAGACCCTGCTGAAATTGAAGGCGACTGGGAAGATAATGAGCGAGGTGTGTCTTATGTATTTGGCAAAAAGGTCATCAACGAGTTTCTATCAAAGTTTGATTTAGACTTGGTGTGCCGAGCTCACATGGTATGTATTCTTTCTTTCTATTTACATGTAAAAAATTAAGTTTATCTTTTATTTTAAGGTCGTTGAAGATGGCTACGAATTTTTTGCTAATAGATCCCTTGTGACGGTATTCTCAGCGCCCAACTATTGTGGAGAGTTTGACAACTTTGGTGCTATCATGAGCGTAAACGAAGAGCTGTTATGTAGCTTTGAGTTACTGACTCCAGCCGATCATCCATTGGCTAAAGAACGACTTAAACAGAACAAGATTAGTAATGGTAATATCAACAGTAATAATAATAAACGATAGAAATACGTCATAAAGAAGTGAGCCAAGAACTAATTAAGCCTAGAACTGCAAAAGTAGCTTTTCTGTCAACTAGGCTAGTTTTTTTTTTTCTTGTTGTTGCATAAACATGAATGCTTGTACAGTCACTCCCGAATAAGCTTCCCGAGAAAATGTTGAAATAGCATAGGTTCTAGACCAACTAATATGTGCGTTTATACTTAAGCATGGAATATCAAATTATGAGAAAAGAAAGGTTGAAGTGTATTTAAAAACAAAGGCAGTTTTAATATTCAGCTAAACAGTCTCTTCAACATGTCTCCTCTTCACATTTCCGACTAAACGCTCAGTCCTGTCCACTCTTCTTGTAGGGCAACCTTCAATTGATTCACATGAATAATAAGAGACCTTTTTTTTTTTTTCAATAAGCCTTTAAAGTTCATTCCAAATATGTTCGGTGGAAATCAGGACTTTGAGCAGGTCTGTCCTCCAAAAGTACTCAAAGTTCTATGACCCTTTCGAGCATGATAATGCAGTTATTAAATACAAAATACTCTCTTCTTTCTACTGAAATATAACACGAAGAATTTTCTATTTTCATCAATAATCAGCCTTTATAAGGCAGGTGATAGCATAAAATGAGCATACTAGAAGCTGTTAGCTCAAGAAGAGTAGTAATTTACAACACAGCGTCATGGCAGATATCTAACAAGAGAATCCAAAAATGAAGTTCCGTAGTGCTTGCGTCACAAGTGTCATATTTCAGTCACCGCATCCCACCCTTGCTCCTTTGCTTCCCCGCTATCAGTTGCAAAGAAAAAAGAATTTTATGTTTAATGACAGAGTGAGTAAATAATTTCAGCTGCCACTCTAATTTTTTTATAGGGCAACTTTTTACTCTTTGGGGCTGCCCTTTTGCACTCTTTTTTTTTTTTTTCTTTTTTGGAATATAAACAACCCCCCACTCCCAACCTTTTTAAAATTATAGAAAAAAGAACATGTTGCGCGCCATCAACAAAGCAAGCGTAGCACGTAGAACACCTGCCATTTTAAAGACTGGAGGTAATAAATTTACTTCTTTTTGGATATTGACTCATCAGTAATACTAGTCCGTGCATTCACTGCTTCAACAAATGTTAAAGAAGAAATTGAAGTCTTCATTGATGGAAAATCTGTCATGATTGAAAAAGGAGCTGCATTGATTCAAGCTTGTGAAAAAGCTGGTGCTGATGTAAGCAAAAAATTTTATACAGCGTAGTCTTTACTATATACTCATTATCTTTTTAGATTCCTCGTTTCTGTTATCATGGTACGAATTCAATTCTACTTATTACAGGGATAAAAAGAATAAGCGGAAAATGAGAGAGAGAAAGAGAAAGAGAGAAATAGTTTGAACTTACCTTGTATTGTATAGAACGTCTTTCAGTTGCCGGTAATTGCCGTATGTGTCTTGTCGAAGTTGAACGTGCACCCAAGCCAGTCGCTTCTTGTGCCTACCCTGTTATGCCCGGTATGAGAGTAAAGACCAACAGCCCAGTCGTCCACAAGGCCCGTGAAGGTGTAATGGAATTTTTATTATACAACCATCCTTTGGACTGTCCTATCTGTGATCAAGGTGGTGAATGTGATCTTCAAGATCAAAGTATGCGTTATGGTTCCGATCGTGGTCGTTTCCATGAGCCTGTAGGCAAGCGTGCTGTTGAAGATAAAGATTTTGGACCTCTCATCAACACTGCCATGACTCGTTGTATTCAATGTACTCGTTGTGTCCGTTTTGCTAACGAAGTGGCTGGTGCTACTGAGCTTGGTACTAGTGGCAGAGGCAATGATATGCAAATTAGCACCTATATCGAAAAGACAATTGAATCCGAAATGTCTGGTAACGTCATTGACCTTTGTCCTGTCGGTGCCTTGACATCCAAGCCTTACAACATGCGTGCTAGACCTTGGGAATTGAAGAAATACGAGACCATTGATGTTTCAGATGCTATTGGTTCCAACATTCGTCTTGACACTCGTGGCGTCGAAGTCATGCGTATCCTTCCCCGTATGAACGATGAAATCAATGAAGAATGGATCTCTGATAAGACTCGTTTCTTCTATGACGGTTTGAAGGTTCAACGTTTGACAACCCCCTTGATCCGTGAAGGTAACCGATTTGTTCCTGCTTCCTGGGAAAAGGCCTTGAAGCGTGTCAGTGAAGAGTTGAACAAGACCAAGGGTAACTCTGCCAAGGCTATTGCCGGTCATCTTGCTGATGCTGAATCCATGGTCGCTCTCAAGGATCTCCTTAACCGTGTTGGTTCTGAAAACTTGACTATTGATGCCCCCAATGGCTCCAAGCCTTTGGCCATCAACGCCGATTTCCGTTCAAACTATGTGTTGAACTCTACTATTGCTGGTGCTGAGGATGCTGATGTTGTTCTCTTGATTGGTACTAATCCTCGTCATGAAGCTCCCATTTTGAACACACGTTTCCGCAAGGCTTTCCTCCATAAAGAACAAGATCTTGGTTTGATTGGTCAACCTGATAACCTGAACTATGAATACGTTCATGTAGGTGAGAGCAGCAAGGACATTGAAAAGATCTTGGATGGTTCCCATCCTTTCGCTAAGCGTCTTGCTGAAGCCAAGAAGCCCATGATTGTTGTTGGATCTTCTGTGATTGAAAATGCCAAGGACAGCGAATACCTCTTGTCCAAGGTCTCTGAACTTGCTGACAAGTTCAAGAATACCTTGTTCCAAGATGGTTGGAATGGTGTGAATGTCTTACAACGCGCTGCCAGTCGAACTGCTGCTTATGAAATTGGATTTGTCCCCACCTCTTCCGAAGCTGCCAATGCACCTGTTGACTTCCTTTACCTCTTGAATGCTGATGAAGTATCTGGTACTGATATTCCCAAGGATGCCTTTGTCGTTTACCAAGGCCACCACGGTGATGTCGGTGCTCAATACGCTGATGTGATTCTTCCTGGTTCAGCTTTTACCGAAAAGAATGCTACCTATGTTAATACCGAAGGACGTGCACAGATCACTCGTGCTGGCGTGAACCCTCCAGCTGCTGCTCGTGAAGACTGGAAGATTATTCGTGCATTATCAGAAGTTGCTGGTCACACACTTCCCTACGACGATCTCCCTTCAGTTCGTTCTCGTTTGTCCGAAATCAGTCCTTCATTGACTCGTTATGATGTCATCGAAACACCTTCGATCACTCAACTTGGTTTGACTACCCAACGTAAACCCAATGCACAGAGTACAGGTGAAATCTTGACCTCTGTCATCAAGAACTTCTATCGTACAGATCCTATCTCTCGTGCATCTAGCACAATGGCTAAATGTTCCAAGACTTGGGTCCAGAAAGACGAAGTTGAACCTCAAGCACAAGCTGCTACTGCCTAGATTTATTGACCATCTTCTCTTTTTTAAATAATGAAATTTTTTTTACAAAAATTTGTTCGATATACTTTTTCTTTTCTTACCGCCAAAGACAATAAAAAACATGCCTAGTATAGTAATTTTGTAGTCGAGCCATTATCTCCTTGATATTGAGATGGGTTACATCATTTCATTAGAAAAACAAAGAAAAAAGGGAGATCAAAGAGATAAATGAAAGGGGGTTGTTACACATGTTACAATGGCGGGTACATTTTTGCCATATTAGACACACAACTTTTGATCTTGATGAGGCTTTATATGTTTGTTCTTTTTTTTTCTAGATTGATTTGCCCATTGTGATGATTGGTACACTTTGCATCTATTCTTTTTCTTTTTCTTTTCTTTTTTTTTTTTTTTCCTTCTTTCACCATCAATTGAATTCAACAAGAACTATTAGTTTTGAGCATTTGTACACGACGCCCTAATCAATGTTCCTTTCATCCTTAGGAAAGGAATGAGAAGCTTCTGAGCTAACATAGATATGCCATAGGGAGGTAAGTAACAAAAAAGAAAAAAAAACTAAAGAGAAATAGAAAGATGGAAAAGATCAATCTTTGTTTTGTAAAAAAAGAAGAAAAAGTATCGAATATAAAAAAGAAAAAGTAAACAAGTCCTTTTTATAATCGCTTGTTTGATTTTTTAATTAATAAAGCTTACTTTAGCTTGTTTAATGATTTCGGATGATGTATATATGTACGTGAATGTATGTGTGCCCTCTGTTTGCCGGCTTCACACAAACAGATTAATGAAATTTAATTTACCCCTTTTTAATTTTTGAAATGTTGTAGATAGTAAAATACGATCAGTTAGAGACAAGGGGAAGGGATGAAAAAAAGAGATGAGGGTTTGGCGATATATTTATGAATCATTATTCCCCCTTCCTCCTTTCATTTGTTCTTTTACATTCTTTATATTTGTCATCTCCTTTAGGGCAAAGTGTCCAATGTGTATAATGATATTTGCACATTGTTTTTGTATGTTTGATTGAAACCACCTTTTGTATCGATAAAGGGGGTAAGAAGGGACTAATGAAAACGCGTTTTCAACAAGCAATGACCACGTTTTATGATATTTTATTGTGCATATATTAAGTCGCAAAAATTCATTTCAACGTAGATCATTACTTCTTTTCTTTCGATTTTATTCTAAACCTATTCCACTTCTTTTTCTGCAGATATTAAATTAAAATGTATCAAGACTGTTTATGTTTAAATGAATTAAACTTTTATGGAAATGGTTCCATTTGGCAAGATTCTTCATTACCTACTCACAACAGCAACCATGGTAACAACACCTACCCATTATGGGACAAACCAATCCAACCTTGTCCAGATCAATTTTTAATTTCTGCAAGCTTCGAGCCTTATTACTCCGGTCCATTCAACTTTGAAGGAAATCAACCTCTCTTGATTGATTCAGAACCTACTGCCAACTTGGCCGCTGCTATGACCTTTTGTAGTTCTTCTTCTTCTTCGCTCGTTTCATCACCTTCTCTTACACACTACAATAACAATACATGTATTATGCCCAACATGATCCCATTTACTGCTTCCAATGACCCAATGTTTCTCAATAACCCTATGCCTGTAAATCATCATGCATCTTTTATTCCTGCCGACATGAACCCCATGCTCTACGCCAGCCTTCCTCTCCAGCCGACTCAAACAAGAGATGTCAAGCCAACGAAATGCACCGCCAAGAACAAGATTTATGACTGCAATCTATGCCCCCGCTCATTTGCAAGAAAACATGACCTTCAGCGCCATATTCGGGTTCACACAGGTGCAAAACCTTATTACTGCTTAAACTGCGAGAAGGCCTTTGCACGTACAGATGCCCTTAAACGTCACTTACGAATGGAGGAATCATGTCGTATGAGTCCTGTGATTCAAGCACTCAAGAATGTTGGTATGCGACGCTATAGAAACCTGTAAATAGGCCTCATGGTGTCATATTCATTATACATAGATATCATTTTCTTTTTAAATTATACATAAGCATTTATTTTATTTTTTTTCTGTTGAAAAAAGGGTTGAACCCTTATTACCCCTTCATTCTTTATAAATTACTACACCCCCCCTTTTTTTTTCTCTCTCTATCTCGATCTCCTCTTTTTATATATACACTTTATTCTTTTACTTTTTTCGAATTATATATTGCAAAGAGAAAAGAAAATTATGTTTATTGTTAATGATTCATAGATATAAATAAACGCTATATGCACTTCTCGCTAACTTTATATAAATTGAACAATGATTGGTCCATAAGCTTCAGTCTGCTCGAGTTTTATTCTGTTTTTTGTAGCTAGTTCTAAAGGATAATGAATATTTAGTATTTTAAAAAGATAATTTACTTTACCCAAGACATTGAAAAACCCTTGAGCAATCTGAGAAATCGTTTTCAACTGAAACACGTCATCCAAGTTAACATCTGATACATCATCTACCAAAAATAATCGTAACTCCCTTTAAAGTGTTAGTCAGATGGTTTATCTTGTTCTGCCTTACTCTATAAAGAATTCTTCTTGATTCGAATCTCTGTTAAGATCGATGGCTTCGAAATGATCCAACAAGATACTGTCTTGATCATAATCCATCTCGAATTGTTCAAATAACATCGGATGGCTAAAAGTGTCATTATTTGGCGCTCTTGTCCTTTACAGACAACAGGGGAGGGGGTATATTAATAAAATGTTGCTATATTTCAAGAATGAACCTTACACGTCATTTTCTCTAAATTCATATAATTGTAATTCAGGAGTTGTCAAATCTAGTAAAACGTGTAAGTTAGGGGCTTTCCCTCCCGATCGAATGCCTTATTGATTACCTGACGTCGACCTAACTGTCGAACCACCCGTGACGGAAGGGGGATAGCTTCTGGGTGTGCTGCTACTACGACGAGCATATCTTGACCTTTCAATCATTCTTGTATATACCTTTTCGTACGAACATTAGATTCATATCAATATCCCTCTCAGTGCTGTCTTTACCGTGGCACTCGACTCACGACGTATACGGCGATAACTAAATGGTTGCTCCGGAAATAACCAGGCAGCAGCAGGAGTTAGCATGAGCGATCTAAATTCATTCACTCTCTGTCTCTTTTGAACTTTTGCCGGATGAGTCTGAACGACAATTCTCTCTGTATGGGCATAGTCCGAAATAGGCATCATTGTTGCTTCTACACTATCAATCATCGTCCTCTTTCGTCTGTTTCTTTTCATTGGCTCTGTAATAACAAGTTCACTGTCGGTTACTAGGACATCGAGCATTTCGGTGGACACTGACATTTGGCTACGTACTTCATCTTCTTCAAGGATTAAAGAGGGATGGTGCCTGGGCGCATAAACAAGATCTCCTGAGCCACTGTGTCTTCTTGTTGAACCAGTAGCATTTGAAGATGAGTGAAGAGAGTTAGATGGAGGTTGTCTCTAATTAATAATGGGTAATTAATTTCTTCTTCTTTTATATCCTTTACCGGCGATGGTATATTATCAACACTTAATAACGTCTGATAGCCATCTATCGGAGACGAGGGAAAATTGTAATCATTGATACTACATAGATAAGTACGATGAACATATAGTATATATGAATATATACTATATATACCCCAAGTCAGGATCAACATTGTCCAGTATAAGTGTCTGTTGGTGTTCTTCAGTCATGGTTTGCTGATAGAATGACTCTTGGCCGTTCAAATGCATAGGGTCAAGGCCAATGAATCCAGGGTTGAAGGGCTGAATGTCCTGGAGGTCAATAGAAAATGGCGTATTGGCTTGTACAATAGAAGATACACTTTGCTTAACTGGGATGAAACCCACAGGGTTGATCTCGAGCTATTTCGAAAAAAAAAGGGAGGTCAATTATATACTGATATGTGCGCCAAAGGAGACTTACAAGATCAGAAAATGGCCCCTGGAGTGATCGAAATTCGTAAAGGTCTTCTCTATCAGGTAATGATAGAAAACTATCACATGCAAAAAGTGAGCTATTTTATCAGTAATAAAATAAAGCTTTACCTTGCGATGGGTTTTTCCATATTGATATTGCAGGATTGTTTTGTATTTCTCAAGCTATTCTTTATTCTGTTATAAAGAAGCATCGATTCCTCTACTTCCAAACTCATTACTATCTCTTATATTTTACAAGCAAAAAAGAAAAAAAAAAGAAGGGGTTTACCATATAGAAAGTGTGTCTTATATTTCCATATATTCAAGATACCAAATAATAAATGAGCCTTTGTTTTCAGCAACATACACTGAGCTTCATCCTCCAACAGCAATTCACTTTTTATATGAAATTAATGTACATTGATTAATTTCATTATTTGGTATTACCAAAAATAAGGCACGTCAAAAGATAGAATGTTGGTCTTCTTGAGTAGTCCTTTTTTAACCTTAGAGTTAGAGCCTACAGTGGCAGCATTCCTAATTTTTTTACATAAGAAAATAGTAAGCATATATATAGACCCATACCATGCTACTTGCACGTATTTATTATGTGGAGACTTGATGTCAAAGAGATCCATGAGAAAAAGAAAGAAAAAAAATGAGCGGATTACAATCGTTTTAATCTGACGTTTTAGTCAAGGATATGACAACAATGGCTTTATCCTTATCTTGGCCACAATAATGATTAAGGATTTATTATACATGTTATGTTCTTTTTGACTTTGATAACCGCTTAATGTTTGAAATAAATGCTCCTTCTTTCCATAATCTAATCGAAAACACATGAATGTTTGTTATTTATCTTTTGGGGGATCCTTACGTGATAATGGCAACCAATCCAAAGCAAAGGATGCCAACACCAATATGAGCTGCCTTTTGTCTTAGTGTGTACCATCCCACATAGTTTTCTGACCACTGTGTTATAAACCATGCTGTAACAAAGCTCATGATAGTCATAGGATGCGGAAACCATGACCAAATGCTTTTCGGTTTTTCGAAATATCTACAAATAAAGAACCAACTATAGATTATACGGACACTTAGGTTAACCATGTTGGCAAGCACAAGCCCAATCGCTCCTAGAGGGAACCAGTACATAAAGACAATTCCCGAAATGAGGAAGCAAGCAGAAAAGAAGACCATAAAATAGCTAAGTCGGTTTAGGTCCTGCTTATTAGCAATCGCCTGTACAAAGGCTTCCGTAATACCATTGACGCCCATGAAAGGAACATACATGCAGTAGATAGCGAGTACCTTGGGCGCATCACTTTGGATTGACCATGTTGATCCAGCCAGTAGATCAACCAAGGTACGCGTGTAATTCGTAGCAAAGCAAACGAAAAGAAGGCCTAACAAGATGTGGAATTGCAAAAAGGTTACTAGGACATGATACGCTGTTTGACGAGCAGAGGTGTTCTGTTTATCAGCCAACATTTTTGAAAAAAACGTTCTTCCTGTCTCTTCCAGAGGTTGAAATAAGATACGTGCGACAAGTGATCCTAAAGTGTAGAAATATGAAAAACATGAATTATTTTCACTTCCTTTTCTTTACTTACCGTAATTGACTGTAAATCCATAGACACCCTTATCTCTGTCTGTGCTCAGAACTGAGATTAGCATTTTATCTCCTTCTGTTAGGACATGCTTTAGCAAAGATTGCTTTGTCATGGTAATTCCTAAGTTAAGCAATGTCTTTTCAAACCAATATTCCCTTTTCATCAATATGATTAGAACATAAACCTATTTACCTATGGTTTATTATTGACTTACCTTCTTTCATCGTCCTTGATCTTCCTTGGTAATAGACTTGACCATGATTTCTCCTTGTATAAAAAGTAACCGAGGTATCCTAGCATCATGACCAAGCCATAAACGAATTGAGCTATGGCAAAGGACAGGATACTGTAACCATACAAGGTTAATGCAAAGGTTACCAAACATCTCAAGATGACAGCTGTTCCTTCGACAGTGACGCGTAGCTGGAAATAAAGTTTATTTAAAGCGACAATAAACAGTGGCTCTGCTATTAGTTCAAATAAGGATGCTAATCCATATAATACGACAGATGTACGATAATAAGGGTATATGTCGGCCTCTTTAGAGCTGATTGTCGATAAATAGTATCCACAGCATAAAGTAGTCGACACAAAACCTAGACAGGCTGGAATGTAAGCAAGGTTAACGATCTGCTGCTGGTTCTTGGTAGACCGTGTCAATGCAGCCCTAAAGCCTTCACGAGAAATAAACAGAATAGTTGAGGCGAGTAGTTCCAAGTTGACTGAAGCGATGCCAAAGGCATCAGGTGTGGTGTATCTCAAGACAACTTGGTTTAGTGAAAAGGTAAGCATACGAGATATAAATTGAAGTAGGATAAGATAAGATGCTCCTTTAGCTGTGTTGGATAATAAATCCTCTTCTTCACTTGTTGGCTTGGATTCCCTTTTACTTTTCATTTAAAGAAAGAGAAAAAAAATAAGAAAATGACATAATTTGGCAATAATAATAAAAAATAGCTTGTTTAGATCGCCGAACATAACTTGCTTTATTTAGAAACAACAGAGTGAAAATTCCTTTGAGATGGCCCGCCCAGGAACAATAAAGGAGTTGAGGGTCGTACAGCATTTTACAACAAAGAAAAGATTTTTTTTCCTTTTTTTTCCCTTTTTTCTTTTCTTTATGGAACTATTTGGAATAAACAAAAAGAATAAAAGAAAAGACTCGGACCCAGCTATTTTAACAACAAGTTTACCGAGAAGAAAGTCTTCAGTCACAAGCGAAAGGAATTCAACTGCAATGAGAAGCTATACTTCAAGATCCTCATCTATCTGTAATGATGACGGTAGAATATGTAAGCTTATATCTCTTTACTCTTTTCCTTTCCTTTTAAAACAATAATAGCTCGTAAATCCTCACTTGATTATACTGGACTTTCTGACCGCGACGTTGAAGACTTGTTTGAAAAAATGCTTGTAAAAATATATATGAATTTACAATAATGTCTCATCATACTGATATTCTATAGACAAGAAGAGGTATTCATGATCCTTCAGCACGATCTATGATGCTCAGCTTTCCCATCGAAAAGAAATTGTTGATGCTCTCACAGGACAAACAAGCAGATCTTACAAATTCAAACACGACATCACAAGAAAGTCTTGTGCATGAAACATCCAACTCAGATAAAAGCTCACCAGAGTATTATATTGACAAATTTCTAGAACCTGACATGAAGGGCGTCACCCCAAGGCTGATTGCTCACTTAGCTGTCAGTTTAAGAACGATGCCCCTAAGTTGGGTCAGACAGTTTATTGAATCAAGTGGTTTGCAGATCATTACGAACGTAATTGGTGCATTGAACATGGGAGAGAAAAAGTAAGAACGGAACTGATATAGATTGTGTATAATCAATTGAATTGCTTTTTTAGGTCAGAAGCTGATCTTCAAATGGAAGTTGAAATCTTGAAATGCTTTAAATCACTCATCAACAACAGGGCAAGTTCTTTTATATATGATATCAAAGGATTCTATTGACACACCACATTTTATTCACTATAGTGGGGAGCACGCGAGGTCATATCCCATCCACAGTGCATCTACCACATCGTTCTATCTCTCGTATCACCGCCTATTCAGACTAGAAAGCTAGTTTGTGAAATATTGGCATTTGTGTGTCACGTCGACTTACCCAAGGGCCAAGAGATCGTACTCAAGGGTCTCGACAAATTAAGTGAGCACATGGGCGAGTTTGGGCGATTCGATGCCTGGCTTAAACTGCTCGAAGCTACCCTTGACGGTCGAGGTAAGATGGGAAGTTTAGTAGGTGCCAGTGAAGACGTTCGAAAGTTTGCTGTGGGGGGTGATAGCCAACTGAGCGATTTTGCACTCTCCAACATGATGCTCGTCAATTCGCTCGTGTCTGTGATAGAGGATGTCGAGATTCGTGTTCATTTACGAAACCAGCTGAATGCAAGCGGACTAGACAGTATTATGCAAAAAATGCTAGACTTTAATAACGAACAGCTCAAGAGACATATCAGCATCTATAAACAGATGAGTGAGAATGATATGGAAGAGATGATGGATATTTATAACGAGACTATCTTGAATAATATGAATGACCCAAGAGAGTGCTTTGAGCGAATTTTAGATAAAGTAGAGGGAACTCGAAGCTACAATTTCTTTTTAAGCACTCTTCAGCATATCCTCATGATTCAAGCACAAGGCGATACTCAGTAAGCGTGCATATCAATTAACAACTGTATCTTTGCTAATTTATCTATTTAGAGTACGTTATTTTCAAATACTCGATAGACTCATCACACAGGTGGTGATGGACAGAAAGGGGTTAAAAAACGATGATTTTTCCTCTACAGGCTGGTCCGTAGCTATGCTCATTGACAAGTTTGCTGAACAAGATCAGATTAATAAATATATCCAAGAGGCAAAGGAAGCCAGGCAGCTATATGAAAAGACTGTTAAAGAAAAACAAGAACTAGAAACAGAGATCAGCCTCAAAGGAGACGGACTAGTGGGACAGTTGCGAGATAAGGCAAATTCACTAGAAGACCTTTTGCGCATATCACGCCACACAATTGCTACATTACAAAGAAAATTAAAAGACACGCAGAGAGAATATGAAATGAATATCACCGCACTTGACCAGCAACTTCGTGAGATATATAGTAAAGCAGCTGCGGCTAATGATGATGTGGCGGCGAATAATGAAAACAGTAATGACACTAGTGGCCATTTTGTGTTGGGAAGGGAAGAAGTAACGAGAGCTTATGATAGACTTAAGGCACAAGCTATACTAGAAGGAAAACCAGAGAATGATGATTATCATAATGTAAAAGCCAAAAAGAAAAAGAAAGTTTTTAAACGCTTATACTAATAATTTTTTATAGCTTCCTCGCGCAGAAGGATTGTCTGAAAAGTTCAAGTCGTCACTTCAAGGGCAGTTAGGCAGCGGTCCTGTTGGTTTGGTCATTCCTGGCACGGCTCCTCTAATTGGATCAACACGCCGTTCACCTGCAAAGAAAGCATGGCAAGCAGAAGACGGTAAATCAGACGGCGTCAAGATAAACGTTGATATCAAAGAGCAAGTAGATCAGCTTTTGAGCCAAGACGAACCTGTGTCAAGTGATGATCATGCTGATAAACCAATCAGCGCAATGGCTGCAGAGCTGGAGCAAAAGCTAAGGCAGTATAATAATAAACCAGTGGTCGAGACTGTTACTACAGCCAGCCTACCAAGAACTAGTTCCATCACAATAGCAACAGCAACCCCTGAAAGTAACCCGTCAGAAAGAAAGCCTTTACTCTCAGAAGATAATAAATCTCAAGCTACAGACCAGCCTTCTAGTATTCCTATTCCCCCACCACCACCACCACCACCACCTATGCCACCTATCTCTTCTAACCTTTCTTCCAAACCAGCAACTTCTGTAGCGCGTGTATCTTCTGTTCCTTGTCCTCCTCCAGTTTCATCAGCATTTGTAGAGGTAACTGAGCAAAACATACCAGTTCCTCCTCCTCCTCCACCACCACCTGGTCCTCAAAACGTACAGCTTGCGTCTAACCCACCTGAGGCTCCCCCTCTGCCAGGCGCGCTAGCTGCAGCTCCTCCTCCTCCTCCTCCTCCTCCTGTACCTCCAAGCGTGCCCATGCCGCCACCTCCACCTGGCGCTCCGACTGCTCCGTTGGCACCTACTGGACCTAGTCGTAAAGTTATCCGTCATCAACCTAATGTGAAAACACGCGCTATTCAATGGACCAAATTACATAGTAACGCAGTGAACAGAACCGTCTGGGGATCCAGCGATGTAGACGAACTAGCCTTAGAAGACGAATTAGAAAACCTTGGAATTTTTGATTCTATTGAATCGCTATTTGCACAAAAAGTAGTCCAGCCAAAGAAACGTGTTGTAAAAGAAGAAAAGAAGGAAATTCGTATTATTGATCAAAAGAAGGGATACAATATGAGTGAGACAAGACAAAAAAAATACTTTACATGTTCTAATAGTGTTTTCTAGATATTGCCATCTTGGCCAGACTCAAGCATCTATCGTTAAAGCAGATAACAAACGCATTTTTGGCTGTGGATGATAGTCTACTTACGGAAAGCCTTCTAGTAAATTTACAGCAGTATGTACCAACACCTGAGGAACAGGGAAAGTTATCTGTGTTTGTGAAGAGTGCCTCTGAGGAAGAACTAGTACAGTTATCTAAGCCGGATGCCTTCTGTGTTGAAGTAAGAGCTACATATAAGCTAACACCCAGTGTGCAGCTGCTTACTGCCCTCTTTAGATGATGAAGATCGATCGTTATAAGGAAAGAGTTGACAATTTGCTGTTCCGTACAATGTTCAACGAAAGACATCAAAGATTATCAAAGGTATGTACTCTTTTAAACCTTTCGTGCTTATTATTTTCTAATTTGTTACTTTATTAGCACATGGCCTCGGTATTGAACGCATCAGTCGCTTTGAAAGAATCGACTTCATTTAAAGAACTTTTGAAGGTAATATTATAATGGCGTTCACAACATAAATACTCATGGTAACATAGCTTATTCTTGTGCTTGGTAACTTTATGAACGGCAATACTTTCCAAGGTGGTGCATTTGGTATTCGAATTGCCAGTATCAATAAGGTAAATATTTTTTGTTGTTATTATTTTGCTTAACACAATTTAACTAATACCACCTTGATAGCTGGTAGATACCAAAGGAACAGAGGGGAATGTAACCTTGCTTCACTTCTTGGTTGACTCTGTTGAATCAAAGATACCTAGGTTACATGGATTTTTAAATGACTTACAAGAATGTGGGGACGCCTGTAAAGGTAATAGGGAATCAGTCTCTTACAACAGACATAGATGACCCACCTAATTTTTTTTTTCAGTGACACTACAAGACCTTGTGAAAGAATACAACGAAATCCGTGTAGGCCTGCAAAAGTTAATTCAGGAATTAGATAACCACTACGAAGAAGGATATGAAGCCCCTGAAGGCGATAATTATGCTCACGTCATGAAGAAGTTTAGAGATGATGCTATAGAAAAGTTTGAAGAACTTGAAGTTAGATACACATCCATGGATGTTGCTTACCGTGATGTAGTCACCTACTTTGGCGAAAATCCTGATCAGATGAAGCCAGATGAGTTCTTTAGTATTTTCAAGACATTTACTTCTAGTTGGGAGGTAAGGCTTCTCATTTTTGTATATAAAACATTGTATTTTTATTAACAGAAAAAAAAAGCGTGCCATGAGTGATAATTTATCTGCAAAGAAGAAACTTGAAAGCAGAGAAAAGGCTAGACTTGCTGAAGAGGCGCGTAGAGAGAAAATAAAGGCACAGAAACTACGAGGGGTGGTTACAAGCGAGGGTGAGCATATTTTATATATGCTTTTATACAAAAGATTAACCTTTATTTATAGCAATTTCTCCTGGAGTTGATGAAGATAAGAATATTATGGATAATTTGCTTGACAAACTACGTGCTGGGGAGTTAGATACAAGTCTAAAGAGAAGTAAGCAAGAAAGAAGCGCGATATCACGAGAAAAGAGAATGCAAAAGAGTGAATCTGTCGCTATCTTGGCAGAAGATTTACTGAAAAGCATACAGTCGGATGAAGAGAGTCCTTTACTGCGTTTTACGTAAATACCCTGCATTTCAAACGCCACAAAATATTTTTTAAAAGTATCACCGACCTTTATCTTCTCTGTATTCCTAAATGAAATATTTGATGCAAGTTGCTCTTCATAATTACTATTTAATACAACCTTTTTATAAAGCTCTTCTACTTGAAATTTCCAAGAATTGTTAACTTCATTAGGTCTTACATTTTGCACAGCTTCTGTTGACATCTTTAGCTTTTCAACCATATGTACATGTTCAGATTGCAACCCTTCATTGCTTGATACTTTAATATAAATTGGACCTTTAAAAAGAAAAACGTTAGGAGTTTTTTTTATACAAACATTTACACTCTTCACCTCTCTCAATATCATATTCAGTACATCGCTTTAGAAGAAGTATATGCTTGCAAACTCTGTTTCAGTATTAAAAATATGAACTACTCTAAGCACTAATCATATTATTTTCAACACGGATTTTCATAGCTTCATTGCTGAATCATTGAAAGCTTTAAAGAGTACTTTTTTTTTTGTCAGAAATCATGCCCATTGTTGCATAGATACTCACTTCTTCATCTTCGGGCTTCTCCAAACTTGGTAATTTATTCGGTGAACACTACATGCACCAGAAAATACACCAAAAAATAGGCTAAATAATGCAAGTACGAATTTATCACAAGTGGTCTTTTTTGATCGAACTGACAACATAAAATTAGAATAAATAACCACATTTCTTTTTATCTCTTCTTCTTGAAAAGAAACAAAGCAAGCCGGTAACTTTATAAAGTCATGTTTAGCGCGGCGTCATACATTCAAAAGCTTTGCTGGGTGATATCGTAGGTAATAGGTAGAGGTAGCGCCTGTAGAATTAATCCAACTTCTGGTATATTTTCTAGTGCATGTAGTGTTTCCCAACAAGAAAGACACTAGGTTTAAAAGAAAAACTGCCACAAAAGCAGTATTTTTCGTGGGGTATTTATGTGGATGCCCTTTACTGTCAAAAGATACAAATAGGCCAAGACGAAATAATAAGGATAAAAATACGTTTTTTAAAGAGTTTGTTGCTTCATAAAAACTGTTCAGTACATAAATATATAACTTATAAAGATTAATAATGATTCATTTGTAACTAGTTTATTTAAATAAAATCGATAAAGGATGAATAATAGATACTTAATGTAGCTTTTTCTTCCGTATATAAGACTGCATTATTGTGCTTTCCTTTTCCCATTTTTTTTCCTATTTTCTTTTTTTATGGTTGATCCAACAACAAACACGTTCCCAGTGCTGCCAGAGGAGCTTCGAAAGAAACGTAAGAGTATTGATATAATTGTATGGAACAATCTAGCTAACCGTTAGCTTTGTTAAAAGTAAGAACAGCTCATGCAACTTATAATGTTGACTTTTTAGATCAAGCAAAGCAATTATTAATTCGTCGACAGAGATTTGAAGATCGAAGAAGAAAGAGATTAGAGACTCGATTTGCCAAAGGTTCAGATCACATCATATCAAAGACACCTGTTCTGATCTCTAAAAAGAGGCGGATGGTAAGAAAGAGAAATTAAGAGATAAAGGAACCAAAATAACTTTTTTAATCAATAGAGAGATCCAATCCAACTGGTTCATCGTAAAAGAGTACAGTGTTCAATGAAGTATTTTATGTTGTACCTCAAACTTATGATGCTATATAGCTACCTCCTCAACCAAGATGCAGTGAATGCAATGTCAGACTAGATGGTAACTTAGAAACATCACCGTTAAGTGCTGCAGTTCTTGAACCAAAAAGCACAGTCGTATCTGCCCCAGTCTGCGTTGGATGTGATAGGTATTAAAGACAATAGTTTTTTTTTTTTTTTTTGCAATAAGACTTATCTCTTTTGAAAGATTATATACTCTTGCCTCGAATGAAGAAGAGAAGCAAAATATAACAAGGTGGATTGTTACCGGGCAACTCCCCAAAAACGTAGAGGTAAAACTTCTTAAACCTATTGATCAATTTATGAGCGTTGAAGCAGCAGCAGAAGTGCTTTTGACGCAAGCTGAAAGCTTTTACGACATTGCAGCAGGACCCCTTCCTGTACTTTTTCACCAAGATGAGTTGAGGCAATTATATAGAGAAAATGGTTGTAAAGATAGTATATTGAAGCATGAGATATACTGGCCAGCTGCATTAGATGGAGCAGCAACATATGCACACATAGAGTTCGATAACGTTCAACCTCTTTGGACATTGACAAATGATGATGACTTTTATTCCATCAAAAATATGCAAATCATGAGCAAGGCATTAAAGACAGTAAAGAAAAATAGCCGTTTAGACGAACTTGAGCAGTGGTTAAATGGTTTTCTTCATACTAAAAGACAAATGCAAACGTTACGCGAGTATACCTAAATGCAATGCCACTTATCCTTTATAATTGATATCAAGCCGAATGTCTAGGTTGGAGTTTTGTTAAAATGTCTTGTTTTATTACAATAAAGCATTTATTTTATTTTGGTGCAACATAAGATACTGTATCTTCTTGAATAGCTGCATCGCGAAGCTTGGATGAAGTGGTTTCCCTATGTATTTCATCTAATTTCTCTCGAGAGGTTGGAGGCAGCCGCTCATTTTCAATATCTGAACGTCGAGCATCCTCAAATGTAGTAATAGCTTTTTTAATATAAAAAGACAGACGGGTTAGACTTCTTTTAGAAATATACAATATCAAAAATACCTCTTCTGATTCCTTCAGCACCTAACCCCAGAGTGCCTGTGGGCAATTTCCCGGTATTTGACAAGTTTTTTAGTTCCATGATCAGTTCCGAATTTTCTCTCAGGACAGAGAATGTACGAGACATTTTACCAACGGCAATAATCTTATTTCTAATAATTTGCCTTCTTTGTTCAGTAGCATCATCAACTTTGTCTATCTTTCGTTCTGTTTCTGAAAGCTCTTCTTGAGAACAAATATTCAAGATTGCCAAAAGCATAGTTGTAACTATTCTTGTATAAATTTGTTGCCCTCTGATAGTCCTTTTTCTTAACACATACCTTTTTCTCCTACGAATGGTAAACTCCAGTCAAAGACGTTCTTGAATTTTGGAAGCCAATAAGGATGAGAAGTCGCGTTGAATTGACGAATGTTGAGCACATTGTTATCATAACGAAGAATAGCAGCTTTGTTATTATAGATGTCAATGTAGTTGGGTGCTGAAAAGATCGTCATCAAGGACGGAAATCCACTTGTTTTGCTTTTACGGTACATCCGGTATCTTTATAAACATTTGATTAGAAACTTTAGCAGAGGCGCCTTATTATCATTTTACCCATTTGCTTGTGCTTCATGAGCTCTAATAACAGATAATAATTTGTTTTTATCTAGAAAATTGCATACGGCACGGTAGCTACAAAAAGGGATAAACAAAAGCTCTATAACGGCATCATGTTGCTATTACCTAAAGAAATACGAACACCCACGGATATGGTTGTGCTCAAATTTGGGACTTTCCTCTTCGTCAAAATCTTCATATGGATCAGCCCATACTAAATCACACATAATACCGCTAGTAGGAGTCTCTCTGAATCGATTGATCTAAACATAGGATAGTATTAAATCGATTTTTTCAAGACTAAGATTCAGTAAAACATACGTTTTCAATATCCGCTAATGTCTTTAGCTCTGGAGAGAGTCCACCGTGCACGCAAAGAAATTGATCATTCACAACGGCAGCTAAAGGAAGACTGTCAAAGCATTCCATAGCTGCATCGTATATCTCTTTAGAGTATTTTGTTTCACCTAGTTGATCAAAAAGAGTTAATCCTTGGTTCAAACACTAGGGCATATTACATACACTCCAGCTTAAATGTAAAATATTCGGTCAAGTGGCGACATTCATGGTTACCACGTAATAAATAAAAGGATTTTGGATACCACATCTTAAATGACCAAAGATACAAAACACACTACATGATCTTTCTTTTAGTTTGTTTCTTTAAAGGATCTCTTCATACCTCTATAGAGAAATAACCTCTGTCGACATAATCTCCCAAAAAGAGATATCTTGTATCAGCAGGATTGCCACCTATTTCAAACAACTTCAACAGATCATAGTATTGACCATGAATATCGCCGCAAATTGTAATAGGAGCAGGTATCCGTAAAAGGTTAGGCTCAGCCTTTAGGATATTGTTTGTGGCTGTCAGTATCTGAAGTGCTTGCTTCTCTGTCAACCGACCTTCTTTTCTAAAGTGTTCTCTTAAAAAATCAAGATTTGGATATCCTGGTTTATCTTTGGACCATAACTCGTCATCCGTGGGTGTCTTGAACGCAGGAGGTTCGACGTCTTTGCGAGGAGATAGAAAGAGTTATGAATAATCTTTTTCTTTTTTGTTACTTAATTACCTTTGCATACGCGATCTGTTGTACTGACAATAGTTCCATTTTCCATTGTGAACCTTGAAAAGTCGATTTGAGTCTTTGGCTGTTTTGAAGATTGCTCTGACATATTGTTGGGTAAGAATAGAAAGGGAGGAAAATAAAAAGGGCTACTCTAGCATTGAGATTAAAAAAAATTGTGTTTCATGTGGTGCATAATTCTTCACTTTAGATCTAGAATTGACCTAAATACCACAAAAGAAATCTGCTAAAATACAGCATACAAGAGTTTCATCAACTCATAGCTTCTTTTATGTTGTTACAAAGGCTTTATTTATAAAGCCTAAGTGCAAAATTTTCGCCCAATTCATTAAGCTTTTACAATAACCTTAATCTACAACTCTATGATGTTTTCTATTAAAAATCATTGGTTGAAATTGAATAGTAGCATTTGATTTTGAGAACAAGCTTTTACTGGGTATTGTCACTATTTGCTGCGTTCATCAGATACAAGTTTGCAGCGTTTAATAAATCTGATGTGTTTTGAAGATGACAAGAGCTTTTTGTTATACAGTCTTTCCGGAAAGTAAATTCGCCTGTGATCGAAAATAAATGCACCCAATGGTGAGAACAAAATTCATGCTGTATGAAATGTAAATTCGTCGTTACCAAGAATATTTTCGTAGTATCAGTCTTGACATCCATGGAGATACTGTATTTTCAAATTGAGATGTCGTATTGAAACCGTTGTAATGTTATCAGAGTGATAACAAATACAAAAAGAATATGGCTCACTATCTCATTTGACAGTAATATTAACAGGTGGGCTGTCTTGGGGCTGAAACTAACCTAATATTAGAAATCGCCCTCTTTCGTCTCCTTGTAAAAGTTTAAATTCTTTATTCGGTTTTTCCATGAAATTAGAAGAACATGTAGTCATATTTGGCAATGTATATTCTTGAATGGTCACGAAGCAGATTGCTTCTATTTGACATGATTTCTTTATCTTAGGTACCCGATCCTAAAACTTGTTTGAAAGAAAAACATATAAAAACCCATTTTAATTGAGTCCTTTTTTTGCTTCTTTACAGCAGTTATCAAGTGTCCCTCTGAGTGTTAAAAGGCTCACAAATCAAAACTAGCCTGTCCTCATGGTCCTTGCTCTGACTCGCTTGTCCCGCCCTCTTTGCTCTCTGACGTACCTCTGGAGCGTCCTTCTTGTGATATGTCTCGAATAATAAAGAAGTAATAAGGGAAGAATAAGTCGATGAGTCTCTACAGCCTCTTTATTAAAATCAAGATGAGAGAGAGAACCCAATATTACAAATAGCGTCGTTTTATATGCAACCAAAATTATTACGTGACCAATCAGAATTGAAAATGACGCATCATATAAATATAACATGTATTGTTGTCAGTATCTTCGTATTATTCATTTTTAGAGTATAGAATTATAGTAATCACATACGATAAGATTAAGTGTTTATAGAATAAATACGACATAGACCCCGACCAGTATGAGATTACGTCGAAAAATTTAAATTCAGGTTTTTTTATCTTTTACTTGCGCAATCACATACTTTTACGAATGAACTTGTTTGACTTTACATCTGACATTGTAGAAGTGAACATCATACGACGAGATCTTTTTAAAGAAGGCGAAGTAGATGTAGATGTAGATGTGGAAGGTCGTTTGACTTTTGTGGAGCCAGAACGAGATTTCTTGACATCAGATTCATCATCAGAGGAAAGTTCATTCATCAAAGAACTGATAGTACCAGGACGGTTAGTCTTCAACACTTCAGAAGAAGAAGACGAGTTTGTAATTTTTAAGTTCTTGGGTGGTGTATATGGCTTACCCAAGTTCTTCCAGTATGTATGAAGAGTATTGGAGTCATTGAATTTGTCGGCAGTAAGCCATTTATCCCATTCGCTACTGTAGTGTTTCCAACGAACAAGGTACTCACGCTTATTAGCAAGTTCTCTATGGTTGATCACAGCTTCGATTTCATAGCTTTTGACCTCATTACCTTCATCATCTAGTTCAACAACTTCCTCCTTGGATATGAGTTTGAGTTCAGTTGAAGTATAGTGATGAGGCATTAGAACACCAGTTTCATCACGTAGAATATACGCGTTTCCAGCATTTTTACTTACAACTGTATAGGGTCCTTCATAGACAGGAGCAAGTTGACCATTCTTGGTAGGAATGCGAGCCATGACATGAGAGCCAGGAGCATAGTCAACAAGCTTATGTGAATCGTTGAATTTAGCTTGTTCAAGTTCCACTTGTGCTTTGGTTTTGTCGACAATAGCAGGAAAGGCAATGTCAGCCATGTAGTCGATGCGTTTCATCAGCTCTTCATGAGATATTGGCGGCTTACCTTCGACTTGCTTAAGCTTGTCTTTGTCAGAACGAAAACCATGAGGTTCATTCATTTTACGAGCAAACATCAACGAAAAAGGGGATGAATTCAAGCGCTTAGAGATTCTATTGTTTAACGCGAGCTGGATGGCAGGAAGATGGGTATCCCAGTTATTACCAACACCGTTTGTAGCTTTTGCCAACATCTTTTTAACAGATTGGACAAAACATTCACTCAAGCCATTTGCAAAACGTGAAGAGGAGTGATAAACCTATGGTCATATCCCATGGCATTAGCAAGTGCTTTTGTAAGTGAATTCTTAAATTTAGTACCGTTATCACTCTGTAGTTTAGTAGGGAATCCCATGATAGAGAATACATCTACAAGTGTTCGAACGATAGTATCAGACTTTTTATCTGTTAAAGGTTTAATGATGCAGAAACGAGCGCATACGTCAATAATAACCATGAAGTAATTATTGTTATAAGTAGAAGACGTAGAAATAGGACCACCTAAATCAATAGCATAATGATCACCAGAATAATAGCTATAAATGCTTCTTAGAGGATGATATCCTTTTTTTTTTGCAATATTATGCTTCATACAATCAGGACACTGACGTATATACTGTATACAATCAGAAATGAGATTTGGCCAGTGAATACCTTGATTATGGAGACGCTTGACCATTTGTTCTGCACCATAATAGCCAGTTTGGTTATGAGCTTCATTCAGCAACTGTTGATTCTCATTTTCAGGAGGATTAAGATAATCCTTACAGATAGATTGGCCTGATTGTATGTAAAAGATCTTTTGGTTGTCATGATTATTTAAATTAGGCGTTAAAGAAACACCATTATGCGAGGAAGAGGAGTTGTTATCCACTGAAATAGAATTGACACTAGCATTGCTACCCGTGGAAGAATAACGTGAAGCCTTGAGCTTCTTTTTATCTTTGATAGCGTCAGATGTCGCATGATTTGTAAAAGAGTAAAGTCTCTTGGCTTTCTTCACATTTTCAACTTCACCTTTGATATCTTTAGGAGGATACAAGCGAGATAATTTATCGGGAAGCACATTATCCAGACCAGAAACGTGAACAACAGTAAAGCTGTAGTCAAGGATAACATCTAACCATTTGATCAGCATACTATTAGCATTCTTTTGCGAATGTATATAGCAAAGTGCTTTATGATCAGTATAAAGCGTAAAGTGTGTACCCCAGATGAATTTATGAAATTGTTTGAGGGTATAGACGACACCTAATAGTTCTCGCATAGTAACACTACACATTTTTTCAGATTTGGATAACGAACGAGATATAAAGCCAATATATTTTTTGACCTTAGACTTTTCGCCGTCAGTATTTGTTACCTCATATTCTTGGTAAAGACAACAACCAATGCTATAGTCAGATGCATCTGTAGCAATACAGAAAGGATGAGATAGATCTGGATGCGACGGTGTCAAATTAGAAGACAATATATGCTTAATGCTATCAAAGTGCATCTGATGAGTCTTTGTCCATTCAAAAGGACCGTTTTCTTTTTCATCATGGCAGCGTAAGGCATCAAGAGGAGCCATTAATAAAGCTGCATTAGGTGTGTGTACCCTAAAGTTATTTACGAAACCAAGAAAGCTTTGAACTTGTTTTTGAGTAACTGGACATGGCCATTCATGAATATTTGTGACCTTTCGACTGTCTATTTTCTTTCCATCAGCCGAAATTGAGTAACCAAGCAGATAGACTGCTGATTTGGCCAAATGAGTTTTTTCAAAATTAACTCTTAAATTGGCTTTTGTAAGAATTTCCAATACTTTTTTCACATGAAAGAAATGGGCATGCATAGAAGAACTAGCAATGCAAATATCATCAACAAAGCACTTCACATAAGGAAGATCCTTGAATAAGGTCAACATTGTTCTAGAAAACAACTGACTAATGGTAGAAATTCCAAAAGGAGCACCTCTGTACATATATTGTAAGTTATTAGGCGCAGTGAATGTTGTCTTAACTTGATCTTGTTCATTGACAGGAAACTGATTAAATGCAAACTTCAGATCCAAAGTACTGAAGATAGTGGCACCAGACATTGATTGGAAAATGTCACTTATAAGGGGAAGTTGGTAATTGTCAACAGGCAGTACTTTGTTGAGCATACGTGGATCAAGAACTAGCCGAACTTTATCAGTCTTTGTTCCATCCAGATTTTTCTTCTGAGTTACAGTCATAGGCAGATTCCATGCAGAGGGTTTAGCAGGAATAATAATGCCATCAGCTAACCAGCCATTAATGACCTCCATCACTTTAGATTTTAATACATATGGAATAGGATACTGTCGCAGATTAGCAACATACCCGGGAGGCGTAGGAAGATACAATACAGCCTCTGTGATATTGCATAATGAGCTTTTGTTGAGGTTCTTATTAGTTTCGATGTATTTATGGATAGCAGCATCAAAAGCATTTTGTTCTTGAACCGTACTAGCAGGGGATACATTGGGCTCATATGCTTTGTCAGGAATAGAATCATCTAATTCCTTTTTAAGACTCTTGTGCTTTACGGCCACGTTCATCAAGTGAATTGAGAGCTTAGGTAAAAGATCAATCCCGAGTAAGATCTTATTTTCATAAGACATAATGTCATCTTCGATAACATCAAACCTGTGCTTTATTACATGATCAATGTTATCATATTCAACATTGACAAGGTCAATTGTTTGCATACGAGCTACTTTATTACCATTGGCAAGTATAAGCGAG